AATAAAGAACATGTGCTGATATGTGACATTAGTATGTAGTATATACATATGATGCCTTTATTGCCGCAACTATTGCTCAGCGAGATTCAGCCCTGGCTTTAGCAATAGTCCCACATTAAACACACGAGTTAAATCGGTTGCACTTAATTGTGGAATCACACCTTCGTGAACACTACAGNACGTGCGTCCGAGGATGCGCGCGGCGAAGTGTGTGGGGATTCGAACGACTCTGGCGCCTACAGTTGGGGCCCAAATTTGAAGTAGAGTAGATTAGTAGTATCAGCTGACCCTACTAAACTACTCTACTTCGAGTTTAGGGCCCTATGATAGACGCCAGTCGTTCGAATCACCACGCACTTCGCCGTGCAATTTGCCGCGCGCATCCTCGGACGCACGTATGTACCCATACCCAGCAGAATGAAGTAGAAGCAGCGCAACGAGTGAGGAATACACAAACAAAAACGGTAACCGTAAAATCATGCCGATAACAATAATCGCACATGGATCCAGCTGTATGAAGAACCCCAGAACTGCAATAACGAGGCAACTATGCCACGACAGCCGCGTGCAGCAAATCGATTATACAAAACCGATTCAGCTGACCATCTCCCGTAAATACAGGGTTGGTGTATACATATTTCTGCAGTGAGAAAGCCCATTTGGCGAGTGTGTTTTTTGGCTTCATCTCTTCTCTTCTGTTGGCTCCTGATTCAGTATAAAAGCTTCATCCCGCAACTTTGCGGACTATTGCACGGCCATCGAGTTCTCACCCATTGTTGAAGTCATTTCGCATAATTTGGTGTGAAAATTCCGTAGTCATTATGCTGTTCGGAAATTGTGAATATCGGGTGGATGGTAATGAAGCAGAACTACATGATCATCCTCAAGAGGAAATACGAATTGCCCATAGGTGGTCTGCTCAGCCGTCTGTCGGTAACGACTCTGACTCGTGGCCCCTGGGTTTAGAGAGCTGGTTTCGAACTCGCATGAATGCTTGGGCTTCTTGCAAAAAAACTTCAGTGTCAGCCAAGTTTTAGACGATGAAGAACGACTCACTACCTAGGCGTTTTCAATTCAGGGCCGATCGACCGTCCTTTTTTAAACCATTGCTGTGAAATGATTCAGTGAACGGAACGTTCCAGCACAACTGATCTTTTCGCCTAAGAAAACGACTGGACAGACACTTTATCGAAAGCAAGGCAGAAGATAATTCGTGGTTGATGAATCAGGCGGGTGAAACCCGTCCTTCAGTAGACAGCTCGTCTTGTAGTCGTCTTACGCAACGTCGTGTAGCGTAACTAATGCTTGCTGTTTTGCCCCTAGCTAATGGGTAGCGAGTATACAACAAGATGCCCTCGACAAGGAAAACGGCTGCAGCCAAAAACATCAGCAGGCTTGAAATATGGAATTGACTGTAGAAAGAAGCAGTGGTTCGTTAAAGTCATCAGGTCAATAAATAAAGAACATGTGCTGATATGTGACATTAGTATGTAATATATACATATGATGCCTATATTGCCGCAACTATTGCTCAGCGAGATTCAGCCCTGGCTCTAGCAATAGTCCCACATTAAACATACGAGTTAAATCGGTTGCACTTAATTGTGGAATCACATCTTCGTAAACACTACAGGAAGGTGTTTGTCAAAAAAATGTGCCCTTATTTTTTTGCGGTCGGAGCTTTTCTGCAACATTCGAAAGCATGAAATATTGTGTCCACGCGACTATGAATCAAGCTAATTTCGGAGGCTTTTGGAGCTCAAGTTTACGTTCATTTCAAACATTTTTCCCCATTCAGATGCTATTCGAGTGTGGGACGCACTGGTGGATCTCAAATGATCTCAATCGGTTATGGATGTGAAGATGTAAGTGTGTAAGAAGTAAGCAGAATCAAAGTCTACTGCGTAGCCTATCCGTTTGTTGAGGAACCTTACTAAGCAATCCAGGTTGGGTCGTGCTCTGTCGTTGTTTAAATCAATCGAGTTGGCATTTTGCTTGGATCTCAGAGGCAAACATTCGAGAACACTTTTACCCTCTAAGCCAACGAGAATGCTGAAAAGTCGTTTTTTGTAACCTAGTGATAACTATTGTGTTGCTCACTCTAACCCTTCAAGTGTTTGTATTCCCTTTGATTTCTAATGTTACGAGGTTCTACTAGTTAAAGGATGCCCAGAATCTTGCACACACCAACTTCTATGTAGATATGCGTGGTAAAAGTCCTTCACCTCAATCCTGCACTTGTTTGAGATATGGCTTTGATCCCCTTGTGGATGAACTGCTAAATGTTGTGCGTGCGACATTGCCTCGTAGACCCTCTACAAGAGAATGTAGCAAGGGTTTGAGGTGGTAGTAGAGAAAATCCCGATTTCAACTTAACATGCTTCTTAAGGGTAAAGAAGTCTACTATAATAAAAATTAGCTTTCAGAAAGGTATCGTTGCTCATGAAGTTGGACACTCTCTCGGATTTTGGCACGAACAGTCCCGTCCAGATCGTGACCGTTATATCACGCTCAAGTTAGTCACTCCACTACTTTAGTTTTCGAATCTCTTGAATATTCTTTGAAATCCTAATCCTTTCAAGAAGTTTGAGTCGTTGAGGTGACTCGGCTGAATCTGCTTACCAATGATTTCATTATCTGAATTCTTTTTTATTCAATAAGGAAGTGTACCATAAATCAGAACCTAAAGTCGAAGTTAGTTGCGAAAATCCAAAAATAAATCATAATTCAGCAAACAGTTCATAATTCGTGGAACTGATGGAAATTTCGAGCGTCGCACTACGCAAGAGATCGAAGATATGGGTCTACCGTATGATTTGGGTTCTGTCATGCACTACGGATCGAATGTACGTTTCTTATGTAATTAGAGAATTAGCTGTGTGCTAAAGATTTAAAAAAAGAGAGCAACAAGTAGAATTATTTTTGGAGAGAAGCTTCGCAGCTCTTTGATTTGCATGCCAAAGATCATCTTTAGCTTAAAGGAAGCGACATCATGCTGTTGGTGTTGCTTGGAGCATACGTCAGAATCTCACCTACGCTCTTTCTCTGTACAACCTTGGGCGGATTATTTCTTCATACATAAAAGAGCAGGAAAATCAGCAGACGGTCACTTGTGCAATGGTGTGACCGAACGAAGGAAAGATCAGTCCCTATCACATATGCAGGAGCATCGAGGAGGATTTCAAGACAGATGTGTGAATTGGTTTGGACGCGCAAAGCTACTCAGTAGCTTTTCTCTCGCTATCGCATGCGGTTCTTGTGCACGATTTGATGAAGATTTGTTCATGGTTTGTAGAGTACTGCATACGTCCTTCTCCTTTCTTTTCTTTTCTTCCTTTCACGGCTTAACCCTATTTCAATACAATATCCTCAATCCGTCACATTGCGACCCATGAAAAGGACCTTGGACAAGTACACTGGAAAATAATTGTGGCTATCAAGGACCTTCATTGCATATGAACAGTTGTTCGAGTCAGGACCCACAGCTAGATCGCTGTATGAAAAAGCTAGAACTGCGATAGCGAGGCAACTAGTTCGCGACAGCCGCGTGCGGCAAATCGATTGCACAGAACCGATTCAACTGCCCGTCTCCCGTGTTCTTCACACTTATGACATATGAACGCGTCCGTCATCAAGACTTCATGCCAAGACTGCACCCTCTGGCTGAAGTTCCAGATCGTATCGATCACACTGCTAACTCAGAAATACGAAATAGCCGTTAAAACTTTAAAGCATGCCAAGAAAACAAGCTGTCCTAGAAATGAAGTTTTTCATTTTAAACGCTATTCGTCGAGCGATCGTCGCCCATTTTCGAAGCACTTACCGCGCATTGTAGAGTGAGATATAATAAACAGGCGGTTGGCAAAATATCTGAGTCTCTTGACAGCCGCGCCAGAATCGCATAATGCCTCCACGCGAACAGGAAGGATAGTGCAGTTTGGGCCCGGTCTTCTACGCGTGAAACAGGGCGGCGTTGTGTTAGGGAGGCCTGCTTTCAGAATCCGCCGGTGGGCCTTGCAAGTGCGCGTGCTGGCCGGCGGCGCCGCTAGCCATCCGTTGAAAACGCTGGACGCCGTCGCAAGTTCCGCCGGTGGACTCTGAAAGCAGCCAGAACGCGTCCAGTTCATTGAAAGGATGGGAACGTAAATTTAGTACGGGAACTCAGCCCATACACTAATCCGGCTGTAGGTCCTGGCTCGGACGCGTGGTCATGAGGCAACAAACCCCCGTACTGCTCCATCACCCGCCCATGCTCGATATCCTTTTTAGAAGCGCGAAGAGTTTGGGAAATATATATTTTAGTAAGGTAAGCTGTCTAATGTATTGTCTGTGAAACTCTCCGTCGTCTAATGCGTTTTATTCCACCGTAAGGTCGCGGTTAGGAAGAATTGTAGTTAGCGCACCTAAGCGTGCACCAAATAAATAAATAAATAAATAAATTCTCGCACAAAATTCTCGTTCCTCGGTTGTTATGTAAAGGACCTTAAGCAATTTGGAACTTCACTGTTGCCGTCATGCATCATGTGTAATCATTCCAAAGAACTTGCTTTCATGTTCATGATTGATTCTATGATTTTCACATGGTAGTTTTCAGGCATTTACAAAAGACTGGAATGAAATTACCATTCAAACTAGAGACCCAAATTATCAGCGGACAATTGGCCAACGTGGGGAACCTTCGTTCATTGATGTGAAACAAGTCAATCGACTATACTGCAATGGTTGGTGAAAAATAAATGGCTTCTCTTGACCTCGTGATGGCTTGTCAAATGGACAATGTCCACTTGTCTCGATTTCCGTACTGATGATGATACTGCGTAGCGCGGATTGGTAATGGGTGTGTGCTCCACCGAAGTTTAATCGCAAGGTTTTCCCTACTAGAAATGTACAAAGGAAGCTGCGAGGCTCGTGGAAACACTCGCTTTAACGAGGATAGTGCACATTGCATCAGGAACGGGAATTCAGTGGACACTCGGCTCTTACAAGACCTTGGGGGACGGGACTTACGTGCATCCGAGGATGCACGCGGCAACTTGCGCGGCGAAGTTCGTTACGATTCGCACGACTCTGACGAAAATTTCCGGGACACATACTCGCAGTTGAGTAGTTTAATAGGGTCAGGTGATCCTTCTTGTCTACTCTACTTCAAATGGCACCAATGATAGGCCCTAAGGTCGCTCAAATCCCAACGCACTTCGCCGCGCGCATCCTCGGACGCACGTATGTACACACACCATGACCTTGCGGCGAACCAAAATGCAATAGAAGCAGAATTTCACAGACAACATAACCCTTTCACGGCATAATCCTATCACAATCCAAAAACTGCCGCCCGTCTCATTAGAACGCACCGAAAAAGGGCCATAACAAGGACATGGGAGGACGGCCGAGACAGTCAAGGGCCTGCATCACAACACTCGTTCGAAACAGGTCCCATAGCTGGATTACTGTAGGAACCGGGTGCCTAAATGAAGTTATGTTCCTGTGCGCGTCGCCACCTTTTCGATTTTCGTGGTTGCATATTGCCTCATTTTGCAAGAAGAACTACTTATATGCGAGCATATGAGAAGCCAAACAAGAAAAAGTGTAGGAAAAGAGACAGGGCATAAAATATGGTGAGGAATGTTAGCCAAGGAACGGTTGCGAGTCAGCACACAAGGGCTACCTTCAGAATTCAACGACGCAACCGGCAAGTGCGTGTCTGCCGACGGTGTTGCTGGCTTTTTTTGACAACACCTGAACGCCCATGGATCACGCGCCAGTGTTGTCAACAAGTGGCTAGCGCCGGGGGGACGTTCGATTCGTGCGATTCTTGGTGCGCGCGGCGAAATTCGCGATGATCCAAACAACTCTGGCACCTATCATAGGGGCACAAACCTAGAGTACTTTATTAGGGTCGGACAATCCCACCAACCTTCTTTACTTCAAATTTGGGCCACAATGATAAACGCTGCTGTCGTCCAAATCGCACCGAATTTCGCCGCGCAATTTGCCGCGCGCACCCAGATTCGCACGAATCGCCACACACCCGCTAGCGCCGCCGTCGATCGGATGCGCGCTCGTCGGTTGCGTAGTTGAAGTCTGAAAGCAGCCAACCACTATCGATCCGTCGCGACGCACGGTAACCAAATTGCCAACGAGGTGGAAGTGATTCATTGCAGATATATGTCCCCCGATGGGGTGTCAGAATGGTGGCTATCCTGATCCAAATGATTGCAAAATATGTAAGTGCCCAAAAGGGCTGGCTGGAAGGACGTGCGAGGAAATCCCGCAAGGTTTTTGCTTTTTCATTAATAACAGAACGGTTTTCTTTTTTTTGTGCTTGCAAATAGGTTTTATTAATTCAGTGGGTTGCGGTAGTGAATTAGTAGCCACTCCTATATGGCAGGAAATCAGTCATCGTGGAAAGAGGAAGTGTTTCTGGAGAATACGAGTAAGTCACTAATCAGTAGTTCCGTATATTCACTGAAATCTCTTGTGTGTTCACCTCATGGTTCAAGTAGCATGACTTGTTAAGCATTAATTCGTTCATTAGACCGTGTAATCTCCCACCAACTGCAGATAAACGAACTTGTGTTTATCTTCCCTCAAATGTTCAGATAGAACTTATTCCTTTTCTGCAGGCACCCAATTCGCGTATCCGTTTCATCTTGAGCAATGTCAACTATCGATGTGAAACAACGTGTAGAGCATACGTGGAAATCAAGCATAACTCAGATTTCCAACAAACAGGCTTTCGGGCATGGTGAGATTTATTTGACAAAACTTCAACTCAAAACAAGATAGCTGCATTTTTTTTTTCGAAGTGGCCAGAGACATGACGTCTACAAGAATTTCATGAAGTAAGATTGTTTTTATTCTGCTTTGAAAAGGAAGTAAACAAAGAAGCCACCCTTCGCATATTTAACCGTTTTCGATGTTCGAGTGAATTTTCTTACAAACACTTTGCTTGACATTTTGCTCGGCTAGAACGAATTGTTCTCCATAAATGTGCATACTTTCTGTCTAGGTCTACCCCACTTGGTCTAAAGTTTTCTTTGGAAAGTTTCTCTTTCCTCAAACCCAACATTCGCAACGATAAAAGTTATTTGATTTCTGAACATTCTGTCAAAATGCCGCTCTGTGCATAATCAGAATCCAATTATACAACACGGTGCACTACTATTTTACGAAACTTCTTCTAAAACTCAAGTATTAGGATGTTAATGCAAGTATTAGGACTGAAAAAATCAAGCTATGAAAGAGATGACGACGCGTTTTGGTTTTGATGCCTCCAGCACGAGTATTGCGCATGACCAGTCCATAAATAACAGATTTTTCTGGTTCGTTTATTGATTTCACGCTTTTTAATGACCCCTTTTTAGTTGCAAAGAAAAGGAAATTGAAGTGGTCTCAGAACAAGCAGAAATGTTGATAATCGCCGATTCTACAGAATTGGATTACGAGACAGGGTTCAGTCTACGATATATACAAGGTTGATTTCTATGTCTCACGCCCTCCAAATTTTACCTCACCTTTTTTTTTCACAGATTCTGGACAACCGCTTCCTAAACCGCCGCCACCCATCTGGGTCCCAGGTAGCGAGAACCGTGGTTTCCGTGGTGGAACTAACTCTGGTGGTCCTATCGAAAAGTTCATTCTCAACGTCATTCCGAAAGTCAGGTAAGCGTTTCTTATAGAACATAGATTGAGAAGTATACTTAGCACCTGTTTCAAATACAACTTCGGCTTTAGTCTGCCAAGCAGCCCAATCGATCTAACGTTCTCTGATTAGCTCTATCTGTGTCACCACAATTCTTTCCATTAACAATTCAGTTGGATTACGCTGTTGTGATACGATGCAGACGATTTCAACGCGGTTATAGAACGACAAATGGTATTTCCTATACTTAGCGTAAGGTCACCCTCACAAAAGGTTTCCACCCGAATAATTACTTTTCTTTAATCAGTCGGCATGTTCTAGGATTTGTTATACGCTCCTTCACTTCGTAAGAAGAAAGTTTTCTATTCAATGACATTACTCTTTCACTACTGTTGATAACCTATACCAATTTGATCGCTGGGCCCACGTCGCGCTTCCCTACTTTTTGTGAAAGAAAAAATCAGAATGAACGGGGGAGTTTGGTGCGCTTGTTTTGTAATTATGAATAGTTCGAACTCCTCAGTGGAAAATGCACGAATAATAGTAAAAAATTAAATTAACTGGTGATTTCCTACCTTATAACCCACCGTTCGGTTGGAATAGACCATGAGAAGGGCGCTGGCTTCCGCTACCTGGCATTTATCGATAGTTCGTGCCACCAGGCCAGCCTCTTTTGTTCTGTTTCCCTTGAAGTTTTGCAAACGTGCAGTTTGGGTGGAATTAGTGTGGTCAATTCTTTAGTGGCATTTATACCTTGTTGTTGTTTATACCTTGGCTTTTCTGGCTTGCATGTAATGCGGGTATGTCTTCGTCGGAAGTGATTTCGAAAAGCTTCTAGATCTTAAGGACGAAGGCCGTTCTAACACGTGGGGCAAAATCAGTATTTCGCATTTATTTGCTGTTTACTACACAAAGAATATGTGGAATGCAACAGGTTCATATTTCAAAAATAATTTTCAGGGATCCCGCTCGGCCATGGGAAAGCATAGCAAGTATTGTTACTGAATACAGTGTTGCAAGTTTGCTTGGAATAAGAAACTGATCAAACACTCATGAGGTTCGTTTTTTTCAAGTATCCCCCATTTAAATTTGTTGTTTATAGCTAAGTAACTGCTCTCGAACTTCTCCAAATTATTTATAACCTTCTTCTTGTTTTTCACCATTCAAATCAGTCTATAATTTATCTGTGCACCTAGAAAACTGATGATGATAGAATCGCTGGTGATTTTGGAACTCAAAGTAGATTTTGAAGAAGCAGCACAGCCGATAGGAGGAGGGGAAATGAAAGACGAATAGTAGTTGAGCCCTCCTGAAAAAAAACCAGAACATGACGCGCCTTATACGCTTTTTGTCTGCGAATAACGTCTCGCTTTGTTTTCCATCCGCAGAATTTGACAGAAAACGACAGCCGATTGGCATATGAAGGCACCGTATTTAACTTACAACTTTCTTAATATCTGATTGGGTGATGTGTTTAAACCAGCAGCAACCAGATTAATGCCATAGAGCGCTATATTGATAAGTTGTAAATAGGTTCTCCGAGCCGCTTTCCGATTCGTGAATCATGAAAATGGCGGTTTGTTCCGAAGTCTGTTATAGAGCATTCGATATTACGCGCTCGACTCCTAAAATCGTTAGAAAGTATGGAAGCACATGAGACCTATACCGTAGCTTTCGGCACAGTTGGGTTAGATGTCAGTGTTTAATCCTCCCAGGCTGTTCGGGTACCAAATAAGCAGCGCGTAAGGTTGAGAGCTTGGGTGGGTATACGTCTGAACTATGTTTACTGACAATACACCGAGTGTGCCACTTTGTAGTGTTCCACCTCTGCGTTAAATTAGGAGCATTATAGTTCGGTTTTGTTAAAATGTAGTTTAAATTTCCGGAGCAAAAGAGCGAAAGAAATTGCACGGGGAATTTAGCGCTCTGAGGTGGCGATAAACATTGAAAAGCTAGGTCTAGACAAGGTGACCACTTTTCAATTGAAGGCAATGTGAAATGTACGTGGTAGTGATGCCGCTTGCAGGAGCGAATGCTGCTACCCGCCGATTTCCAGAATTCATGAGGAATAATTCAGCGAGAAATGTAACGATCAAGCAGTCTGCTGCCCTTGCCTGCCAAGATCCTTGCTTGATGTGGACGGCGGCGAGAGTTTCTCAAGATGGACTTCAGCTGAGGAGGATGGATAGTGGCCTCATTACGCTTACTTTCTTCCTGAGACTATGTTTTATTATACATATAAAAATAGAGTGGTCCGTAGCCTTAGCTGAGTCATCTGCCCTTTCTTCCACGCTTTAATCAGGTGATTTTTATATATTGCGGCACACGCACTGCACTTTCTGATAGAGTCATTTTGAAGCTGCAAAGCAGTTCCCATTCATAGAACTGTACGACCTATTTTCAAATCTATACCTTACCTTTCTGTACATTTAGTATCTTCGTGTAATTTTTTTTAACTTGAACGAGCAACATGACGCATCGGTGGCGATGAAGTTAATGTGAATCGCGTAAATGCTATAGTATTAAGTTCTTCGTGTCATTTGATTGTATATACTGGAATTGCTAGTATTCTCTTGATTTTCACTCGTCCGTCGGTGTTCTCATTATTTCAACACAGCGCTTTCAACTAATTAATTTATAGATTTTGTGTGGCTACGGTAATGTCATTAGGTTGTTACTGTAGAGTAGCTGTCCATAATTTTTCACTTTTCTCTAATTGCCGGTGTTTGAGACGACAAACGTCCAAGCTTACACTCAGCAGTTTATACATATCAGTGGTTCCACTATGTCGGAAAAGCAATGACAAAATGTGTTTTTAGATGTACAAATTTCGAAATATGTACATAATGCAGTGTGATGAATCCATTTGAGCAAGAAGGGTTCTCATAAAAGTTGTATCTATCATATATGGAGACTCTAATGACTCAAAATGAATAAAGATCGTCTTTTTGCATTTTGATTTGGATGGCTACTTCAGAACTGCTGAGCGGTCCGATTCTTTGGTTCTTCCATACCTATTGTGTCTATATTCACTGAGAATTCACCGTAGCTGTAGGTCACGAATGAAGCGAACTCGGTGAGGGAGCGGTGACCTCGGTATGCCGCTCGCACCGCGTAGTGTTTCGGTGCTCCCCATTCTCATCAAGGAACCGCACCCTGTGGTTAGATGACTGCTCTGACGTAGCGGGCCTTACTCATTACTCTCTGCTGTTTGTGATGTGTTAGTCAAATCTAGTATCGTTTTTCTCGTTCTTCCCCTACTTTTCGTTACATTTTTTGGGAGTGTTCGTCTCTTCTAAAACGGCTGCTTTCGTGTGTGCTACGTCGTTCCATACGAGTTACTTGCTATCACTAACACGAGGTGCACAGGTCTCACCCAGTGCACCTTGGGTGGGAGAATCTCCCATTGGAAATTCAAACCATCCCTTTCACATGGCGCAGTAGGTTTGAGTAACCAAGTGAAAGCCTTCGTAGATGCTCAGTCGAAGTTCCTCTCGGCGGAATACAATCACCTAACAGCCGCAAAGGCCTGAATCAGGCCCCAACACTGAATTTATCGTTTAGGAAAAAAGTCGATCGAATGGCATCGTTTTCAAGAAGCAATTCCTTTCAAAACAGCTGCGAAAATGTTGAATTGATGAATGAGTACTTATTTCAAAACCACCCCAGCCTCCTAATATTATATGTATGTGAGTTTGAGAGTAACGAAGAAGTGTGAGATTTCAGAGATGAAGGCGTGAAGAGATATCAGAATAGAAGTGAATAGTAGTGAATAGCATGATAAGAATAAACGAAGAATGAAAAAGAACGCTCCGGTGTTATCGGGTACACCAAGCGAGCATACTGAGGTATTCACTCATTTCACGTAATCAGAAGTGTTGGAAGATCACGAAAGTGGTGGCTCCATACGGAAATCGCCCGAGGGAGATGCATGATTGACTATTGCTGTTCCACCAACTTGGACTATCGTGCTCCAGCGGAATGACCGCAACGCGGCCGCTTTCCGTAAGCGACGTGTCTGACTTTGGCATGTGAGTTCATCTGGGTCGCCTGTTCTCGAACATCACAGCAATTTTTCAATTTAATCTTGTACCTTTATCGATAAGCGGATAGGGGGTGGCAGATGTGCAGCTAGCATACTGATTGTTCGTGCAGCCAAAAGAGGTCTTTTCGCTTGTCACTTTGTGGGCTAAAACGATTCGACCCAAAGCTTGCATTGCAACAACGTGGAGGAACATGGGGCCGAAGTTTCAAATAAAATGCCTTCTCTTATTAGTCATGTTGCATTTTGATCGTTGCATGTTCTTACCATTTTTGTAACGCGCTTACTACTATTGCAGTCACACAAGACGCGTAGTAGCACAAGAACTAGATTCTAAGTAAGCCAATCCTTTCGAGTTGAGTAGGTTTTTTATGGTCTTTATGGTGCACAGTACAGCCCACCGTAGGACACATGCATAAGTTTTCTGCTCCCCTCCATTTCAACCTTTTTGCGCAACTGTGAATGCGTGGAAACTTAACCCATACGGAGAAAATGCGCGGAATACGAATATATAGAATATGGTTTGTGCATTGCTGTATTAATCTGGATATATATTTTTTGGTTTATTTCCCTGATTATGCATTCCAGACTGTGCTGGTGTCCACATGAAAATGTTTTGCTAACATTTTCTCAGTGGGATTGCACCCATGTGTAGTTCTGTGCTCTCTTTTTAGGGCTTTGCCTCTTCATCTGCTCCAAATAAGCTTAACTGTTTTCCAGAGAATGTTTCAATATAAACAGTGTTTTAGGTTGTCATGACAGGCGGCACTGCCTCGGTAGAAATGGCAGTATTTTGTTTTGATGTGATCGCAGCCGCCGTCAACAACCACTCTGATCCACCTGTGCCGCCTTCCATACCCAACGATAAGTTGTAAGTTTTTTCCTCTCCAAGCTGCTTTACTATTTCAGTAGCTTCTTTGCATTATTGGTGACTTATTTTTGATCTTGTTTATGACGGCTATGGCACAATTGTAAAGTTGAGAATACGCAAAAATCTGGTGAAGAATCAGACCAGTGTACAGTTAAAGAACCATTTTACTTTTTTCCAAGGTGAAATGCTCTTAATCTGTCAAAGCCTGAAAATGTAGATGCTGACTATAAAATCATCTTGTCCATCCAGTCAAGGAGATGTGCATGAAGACATGACAGCCAGGAAATTATTATTACCTTTTGGGTCGGTGCATATGGTACAGTACGAAGAATCCCATCACCTTCTTATATGACGAACCTTTTGAGCTCGGATACATTCGAGGTTAAGGATTTGGATTCAGTGAATCGACCTAATTTGGATACATAGTCTGCATCTGCGAACTTATACCGGGGTCTGCCGATAAGAACTGCAAAATCTATTGTGTATTATTGAATGATTGGATGACAGCAGAGTGGGTACATATTTTAGCACTTTTTGCGAGGCATCCAAAGGTACCTGTAATAGTGTAGAGTCAAGAAAAATTGTCACAAGAGGAGAAAGTCTAAGAAATGAAAAAAAATAAAAAATATCTGCCGATTTTTTCAGCTTAGTGTACAGAACTGAATGGTTTTCTCGAGGGGTTTCCACTTTGCTGGCTAGCTTGGTCGCAAGGCTTAAGGTATGATATCATTCAGACGATGGTCAACATTACTGTGGAGTACGATATCAATTATTACAGGAAAACATTCGCGGGCAGCTTGGTCGACCTTTGTAGAAACCATGTAGGAAATAACCAAGAGGATCAACGCATTAATGGGAATAGTTAACCAGAGCAATAAAAAACATGAACTAGTAAAAAAGCGAGATGTTCAAGTGCCACATGATTTGAAGGAGACGCTTGTCATCGCGAGTCAGTCCCGCGATTAGCGCTTCGAATCCAATGAAGACCACCCATTTATGAAGCGCAGTAGATGTTGACATACGTCAGTGTGTTCACGATAATGTTACTCCCAAACGATTATGGTAAATATCGAATGAACCTGCTCACTGAAGGTCCAAACCCAATCTTCTTCAATAGAAGGTCACGCGGTTTGAATGTAGTTGGATTACAATGGTGAGAATAGTTTGAAGTGATTCTAAAAAACCGGACCAGAATATTAACTTGGTTCCATGCTTACTGAATTTGATGGAGCAATTCAAAAAGCTTTCCGTCCATAATCAGCGAGTGCAAAGGAGTAGCGTTGCGCCAACAAAAGGACGAGGCTAGAGCGCATATATTTTTGCTGTCCCGACGAAAATCATCAAAGCTTGACTGAAAATTAATGCTGCATTCACCATGTAGCTCCGAATTCTCGCCGTCCGAATACGACTTATTTCGCGACCATACACCGTTACTACCCAACTGTCAGATCCAGCCGTTGTGAGTGGGATAGGAGCATAGGGTACGAAAAGAATATCCATTCATCTTCGTCCTGGTGACAATGATGAAACTCATTTTCACGTCGCTGACATTATGTATGTACTCTATGAGCTTATGCGAGATATTGTTCCTCAACCACCGTACTACCTTTGAGATATTATCGAAAAGCAAAAGTCCAAAACTACTAAAAAGTTGTAGCCAGAGTATTGCTATCTTTATCTCTGAGCCACTAAGTTTGTGTGCCTTTTGTAGGGTGCTCAGTCCTTCTGCCACGTAAACGCGGTGAGGAAAGTGATAAGAAGCAAGAAGCCTAGTATTACTGTTTGTATCGATCCATCAATCAGTAGGATGATTCATGACGTCACTGTCTCAGAATCGAAATTTGTCCTCTTTTGCTGGCAGGACGGACATAATTTCTTTTTTTTTAGTTACAGGGCTGTCGAAACTTCAGAAAGTACAGTAAGATGGGAACATTAATATAATGACATCGGTTAGTGCCGATAAATATATATCATTCGATATTGGTTTCTTTGCCAACAACGCCAACGAAAGGGTAGCTTGCCTGTCTTCAGTTACGGGAAGGTCAAACGGCCAGGAATAGAACCGAATAGTGGTTTTTCTTTCATCGGTCGAATGGGATATCCGCAAAGCGGTCTCAGAGCGTTCAAGTCCGTAGAGTATCATGTCATTTCGGGTACATCAATATTTCCAATCACGCGTAATGCTCGCTAGGAGTTCATCAGTTATCCAAGTTTTCTTGAAACACCAAGTCTATGGTAGCCTGCCGAGAACGATGATGCTACTCCCTTACTGTCGACGTGCTCAGTTTGATTTATTGTTAGCTATGCTATTCCTTTGTTAGGGAGTGTAGTAGATGATCGAACATTTGGTCAAAGCCGAGGATTCATTACTGTTTGGTGTAGAGGTTGCGATTAGTCGTGCTTATCCTCCGTTATTTTTTTCTGAAGTGTTGATTAGGAGTGTTTTCATGAATGTTAACCTGTTGACAAATGAAAATGAGTTTTTTTTAGCCCTCTATTTGTTACTTGGAAAAAGGGAAGTCATCGTCGATTAAGAGGATGTATAGGAACGTTTTCGCAATTACAGTGAGTTTTGTTAGTTCAATACTGAACCTGGTATTTTTGGACCTATTTGAATCTGCTTATGATCTTCTCTACACGTCGGCATTTGCTGATCTTAGTTTGAAGCGATAAACTTTTCTTTTCCCTTCACTGTGTTGAGATAATATTTAATTGACTTTGCACATTCCTTGGAACTCGTCACCTTCCAACGCTTTGCTTGATATCAGCCATTACTTTTTGTTTTGTGTTTGCCAGCGAGCGATGTTTTCATGCTAAGGGCTGGTCTTAAAGTGTCATATTGTCTCCTTTGATAGCGCCTCAAGTCAACGAAGACTATTAAGCATAATGTTGGTTTTTGAGTCACGTGATGTGGAATCTGAATTCTTTTGAGAGCAGAACAGAGTTCGTACTACTGCCTTTGTCCCAATACCCGTACTATGAAGAGGTTGATGAAGTATTCTGGTGAACTGTGCCCACAATTTCCTTCGAAATACTGACCACAGTGTATGTGTATGGTTCTGGTCTTTCCAAGGCAGCGGGATACAAGCAGATTTAGCTTCTTCCCATACCTGTCTACCGTGTGCTCAGCAGTAGATAAGAGGAAGAGGGTATGTTTGCCATAGATTTTATAAGCATGGAGCTAACAGTTTCAAGAGTTGGACTGTCATTTATACCATAATGGTAATTAATAAGCACGAGTAGAATTCACTCCGAGAATAGAATCTATTCTGTGGTACTTACAATTAGGACGTACCCCTCTACGTGAGAACGGGAGTAGCAAAACTCGTCTTTCGCTCAGCCACTACCCTCCTTGCAGCAGATATGTTGGAATGCTCATTGCACACTATCTGTATGCTCCGTCTTGTAGTACTACCCCACCAAGACGCCTTTTTTCTGCAAATGTTTTCTTTTTCCTCCTGAAATGCATTTCTTTCGCCGTCCCGTAATCACATTAATTCGTCTACTTTGATTCCATCCAAGCACCCCAACTGCCTTGTCGCTCATTTCGAGGATTACTCACAATGATTTGGCACAAGCGTTCAGCTCCCTCCTCGGACCCACCTCCAGCATCGATTTCTCATTCGGCTTCAATCGTTTTGGTCTAATTATGTCATGTCTATTCACTTTCCACAAGTAGCTGCGTATCTCTTCCCTTCCCTTCCTACAGCTAAACCTTTACAGGGACCATTAGATAAACAACATCTTCAAGGGTTAGAATGACTGTCCACAATTTTATAAGCGTTCAGATAAATGGCCCTGCACAATTCATTTCAGAAGATCTTGGACGCCATAAAAATGCGTAGGGATCCTGATTTCAGAAACGCTTCACATATTTTCCAAACAATTTCTCGGATAGATTATAAAGCATTTCTGAGCGCCGACCGTAATTTTTCTGAGGTCGTGTATAGCTAAAGCGGATTAGCTCCGTGAAAAGATTATGCACGGCGGTGTTGCCAACACAGTTTATGAGGTTGAGGGTTATCCACTTGCTCTACACCTCTTTTCTGTTTTAGGGGCTTTTTCAAATAGTTCAGTGGTATAATTCATCGAGATCTGTTATGCAATATGAGTTTGGCAGGATGGCACGTACATTTTTATCAGAAAACCATGGAGTTTAATGAAATTCCATTTCAATGTTCGTCTTCATAATGGTAATACGAGGGTTACCTTTTATATTTTGGGATTTGGGAACACTAGTGTAGCAATCTAGCAACTGACACCACTATCGTAAAGTTTGACTATTTTGAGGTTCCGTTGAAAAATTTGAGCGCGATTTGTGTTGTTTACACTAAGTTGCAAGATTGTGTTTCGGCCAAGTTATAGAGTTGAACCGTGAGCATTTTCGCGCGATTATTTTCTATAACTTTCGACGTGGACTAACTCAACAGCAATGCATGGATGAACTTGGTTCAATTTTTGGGGATGAAGCTCCATCCAGGATCAGTGCTTATCGATGGTACAGTGAGTTCACCGGAGGTCGTAGTTCACTCGAAGACGAATTTCGTGGAGGTCGTCCAAAATCAGTTGTTGTTCCGGAAACGGTTCATGCTGTGCACAAACTAATACTGCAAGATCGTCATGCGACCTATCGTGAGATTGAGGCAACCTTAAGCATTAGTGGGACTAGCTTACATTCATTTTTGCATGAACATTTGACTGTAAAAAAATTTGTTGGCGTTGGATCCCACGNAACTTGGTTCAATTTTTGGGGATGAAGCTCCATCCAGGATCAGTGCTTATCGATGGTGCAGTGAGTTCACCGGAGGTCGTAGTTCACTCGAAGACGAATTTCGTGGAGGTCGTCCAAAATCAGTTGTTGTTCCGGAAACGGTTCATGCTGTGCACAAACTAATACTGCAAGATCGTCATGCGACCTATCGTGAGATTGAGGCAACCTTAAGCATTAGTGGGACTAGCTTACATTCATTTTTGCATGAACATTTGACTGTAAAAATTTGTTGGCGTTGGATTCCACGTCACGACAATGCGGGCTCCAACACATCGGCTCAAACAAGCGCATTTTTGAGCACTCAAAACAACGGTTTGACAGGTCATCAGCCATCTAGTCCCCGGGTGACTTCTTCTCATCCCGCACGTAAAAAATAAAATGACAGGTCAACGTTTTTCGACACCTGAAGAAGCCGTTGATGCGTTCAGAATGCATGTTTTAGAGTTACCTTAATCAGAGTGGCAAAAGTACTTCGAAAATTGGTTCGAGCTCATACAAAAGTGTATAGATCTTAATGTGGAGAATTTTGAAAGGCAGTCAAGCGATTTTCAATGAATAGTATTTGTTCCTGTTCTCAAATCCCGAAATAGAAAGGCAACCTACGTAGTAGGCAAGAGTGTTCAAGAGCTTAGTCCTCACTAATTGTTGTTCATTTCAAAGAAAAGTATCGTATAATTGGTCGAGAATTTATGCATGTTAGAGTTGTATTTTATTTATGGCCAAGCTTTTTGTCCTGCTGGTGTACCCAACGAAACCCTGGAGTTTCGATTCAATTGCTGTTTGTTCATCCTTCAATATTTGTTTTACTTGTGACTTTGTTCAGCTTACATACGGGTCTCCGAGACTATGCTATCACAAGTGCGTTTCACGATTCGCGCTTCGATCCGGTTCGAAAAGAAGAAATTCCACATCTCCATTGCGGTGTGAGTATCGTTCGATCCTACGCATAGTATTAACTTCTATTATTTTTTCGTTCGCAATTACCTGCACAGATTGTGGTTGACGGTGTTGAATTTCATATACTGTGAAGCTCGGAAAACCATTCGCTCGTTTAGGTCTCTTTATTAATCAAGTTCGAATCAGCTCATGATTACATGGATTGGACAATCGGCATGCACGGTATACGTATTCATTTCATGGACGGGAGTGTTCGTAGAGACGCCGTTTACTTGCCAGAAGTAGCTTACGAGCAAGGTATTTTACTTGGTCAATATCCGCGTTTTGCTCTACTCATTTCGACTTTTATGTATTGCAATTAAGTTCACTTGAAGGTTGGGACCATTTGGAAACTATCAACAATCTTATTGAAAAAGGTGGATATCGTGGACGTATTGACGAAGGGTTTCGACTTTCGCTGCAAGTCACTCGATTTCAATCTAGTAAAATAATGATCTCTTATGATGTGAGTAATTTTTTTTTTGATGGCTCGACTGAAACAATTGGTTAAGATGTGGGTGCTTTCGTGAAGTTCACGTGATGTTTCTTCATGCCAAATTTCCATTGCAGAAGGAAGATGGTGAACACCTGATTGATTTTTTCTCGAAAAGGGCACTCGATAATCCCAATGTATCCCTAAATTTTTAGGAAATCGGGGTTTACTGAATAAAATTATCAAGGGTGAAGGTCGGGCATCTCATCTTGACAGATTCAAGTCGAAGTGGTCACTTTAAATGAGGCATGCACTCCTGTTTTGTGCGCAAATGTTGAATCAGCGAACAACGATCCATTATTAGTACGGAAATATGGCGAGCACGAATTCACTTGAAGCTTCTAATAAACTTTGCATGCATGTGCGTGATACAGCTTTAAGCAGTCTAATTTTTGCTGAAACTAAAGTTCTGGCCTTAATGAGAGTTTTTTTTTTTAAGTTTGAAGATCATATTGCACTAATAATATTTACAGCATTTTATGTCATTTTTGATTTGTAGATATATGTCCTCAATTAACATTTTTTATTTGTGTGTTAAAATGTTTTGATAACGTTTTCAGGTGTCAGGGTTATGCCATCCTATGCATGCATATTACTAGTTTCAATTTTGTGATGCATGATCTAAAAGTTCACTCTCACATTTCTGATAAGCCACCAGACGATCTCTGTTTGCTCTCGGTGATTTCGAAAGGTCAACTAGTTGTCTCGTCTCGTCTGTCTAATTTGGAAATTGAGTGTGATGCTGTGAAGAGGTTTTTTGTTACTGATTGGTCCTATTTTTCCTAATATTGAAATCTTCCTAATACTTGCGCTGAAATATAGAATATAAAGTATTAGTTAATATAAAATTTAAAATGTAGAGTGAGTGCTAGAACTCGGCTCTCGAGAAAGTGGATCTGCAAAGAAATTATCAAGAATGAGTTTGTTCGGGAACTGATCCACGTCAAAATTGGAAAGTTCGTGGAATGCTCATTACCAATCCCATATACCGCAACTTCCTATCTCTTGCCAATTTGCCGCTGTTATGTACTTTACATCGAGGTTTTTCCAGTGTTTATATGACACCAAAGAGCGGAGGCGGTGTAGTAGCAATTGGCACACTATCTCACACGCATGGTCAGGGGTTCGAATCCCGGATCCTAGACCAACCATGACTTCACTCGTTCCGGGGTCGGTTAATTGGTAGCAGACCCGCCTTCCAGGATAAGGGCACTGACCTGTACATCGGCTGGCCACCGCAACTCATTGTATATGCCACGTATGCATTTAAGACGCCGCTATGTTTCTGAATGGAAGTCGAAAGCATGGGCGCATTCCTCAGACGGGATTAATTATCACCCCAAGACTGCATCCTTTATTTACATGACACTCAAAGACATCTTGTATTTCGTACAAAAATCTTGTGCAAATGGGAATGTAAATTGGAGTTCAACACCCGTGACATCGACCCAGGATTCATCCAATATCAGCCGTCTATTGGATCTAATCTTCATATGGTCGTGTGCAGAAATTTGTAAGTTTCGATATGCATTTCGAACTTGAATGTTTACTGACCTACTTGTTGTGTCGTCCCTAATTTATTGGGGGGATGTATTGCATATGTTAACATCATATAGTAAGTAGGATACTGATAAGTTATGGGTGTTTCTTGGCGCGGGATAAAATATCTGCTGCAGCTAAGAAGGTGCTGGCCATGGGTTGGTCTTTTGTTGGCAAATGTTTTTGTTTTTCAAAAAGTTAGAAGTAGAGTTGTTTTACAACTGCTGTGAGAGCGGGTAGAGGAAAAAGTAAGGAGTGCTCGAAAAACGCTCTCTACTGCGCGTTGGTGATAGTATCTCTCACAAACAACATCACAATTACACTGATATTCTTTTTTCTTCAAGTAACTGAGTGCCCTTTTTCGTATTGTGGTGATCTGATTCTATATTTGCGAATCATTTCGTTCACAAAAAGCCTTTCCAAGTGAGCAGAAAGTAAAAGGCTGAAATCTTGCCACATACGAAGTAAGTGAAGTCATTTTTTCCAGTAGTAAGCCATTGTGATGTTGCTAGTGATCATGCCTGCACTCCGTCATATCACAGAATGCCTCTGGGCTTTGGTTTTAGTGGAAGTGAAAGTAGTGGGGAGGTTTACACTTCATGTTTCGCATTTGTTCATTGCATTTCTGCTGGATCGCAGAGGTTCACTCTGCATTCTATTTCTTATCGCAGCTCGAATGGATTACCTCACTGTTCTCTTATCGAAGTAGAAGACTTGTACCATAACGCAAACGCTTCAGTACAGTTAAAACTGGTTTCTTCATGTGTAATCGATTTGCTAAGTTTAGCTTGCAATGGGTTCTACGAGGCTTTTCGGGGCATTGTGCCCATTCATATAACAGCAGCTGTATCGCGTGGGCTCCTCTCCACAATTTTTGATCCTCATCATCGATTGCCGATCAATAACATATTCTCCGCTTTTCCCATATCTCTCGCGAGGTAGCATTCGTGGCATCTGTCTACCACCCCTTGTGCTTCTTCGAAGTAATTTCGAATTATTACAGACCAGTCGGATCAGTCTGCTTACTCCGGGCTTCTCTCCTTCCTTTACAAGGCCGATTGTATATCGCATTTCCTTAAGCTTGGATGATCCCACCTGTTATTCTTTGTCTCAAAAATAACCATCATACATATAGAAATTAAATCTTTCCCATTATTGCCTTCACCGGCTCACTGACTTTATGCAACTGATTAACCTGATTATTCGACCCAAGTCTCGAATAATACTTACTAACGTTTTTCAATGATGATGATGCTTGCCTTCTTCGGCCATTTATCAGACCTTACTACTTTTATCAATGCTTATCACCTCTCAATCTCGTCACATGCTTCATCATTCACTGAGGTGTCGAGATCAATTGTTGACAGTGCGTGGCTCACCTTCTACGGCTCTGGTCAAGTATGGGATGGCTTGGTCATGGGTCAAGATACAGATAAGATAGATAAGAAGAGAGCATATGTGAGCCAGTAGAGCCACAAGGACATGCACGAAAGGGCGGTGTCATGGGTAATCTTTTTAATTATGTCTTGTAATAGTCCAGACGCTGGAAAAAAAATGAACAAAAGTGAGCAACGTGTCAACAAGTGAGAAGGCGAAGACTCACCGGTGGTGGTCGGCTCGTGCTCATAGTGGGCGGTAATTCCGACATAAATTCATAACTTGGCTAGGCCAGCAATGAATTAATTTTTGTTTTTCAGGTATTTCAGATGAGCTAACTCCTAGGTTTCTTACACTGCCCCTACTCATTTGTAATTTACCGTAGTTTTTATTCACGTGTTTCACATTGGATCCTAAATTGCTATTCCTTTGGGGATGAATCCGCCAAGAATAAATCTCCGAGAGCTTGGTGATACTGTTGATTCTTGCAAGGCAGATGTCACAGCCAGATGAATCACTACAATATTGGACCTAAATGCTTGTCTTCCATTAATTGAGAACCCACAATGGCATGTTATAATGCATATGGATACCATGAGAGTCTTTTGAGCGTTGACGTTTTTGAAATGCTATTGATACGACGATTCTTTCCTTTACAAAATAGCCAGTAATAACAGAAGCTAGGATGAAAAGTACGAGGATGAGATTATGTGAATCATTACGGGTTTTGGCTGGCTAGTCTATGACTTGTGAAACTTGGAATGGGAAAAGGTGTGTTGTTCGTTTCAATACATATAATTGAATGTGCATGGAAGCTACATATGATTCAAATGCTTCTAAAGGCACAGTTCGCGATGAAAATGGTTTCTGAGATTTCTCTACAGTATGGATTAGAGGCTCTCCCTTATATCATACCTCCCACTATATGATCAAAAAACGTCCCGGATAGGGCACAATAAGGGGCCAGAGATTGTGTCGTGTGAATGCCATGCCCTTAGTGGAGAGTTTCACTGGCTTTGCAGAGGCTGCACTAGCTCAAGGGTCAAGGGCTAACTTGTGGAAATTTCAAACAAGTTGACTTGTCCCATAGCGACAGTGAAGGGCAGTTCCGAACAATTTCGGCTCGATGTGAGCATCTTTTTGAGCAGTGGGAGCAAGTTAAACTTCGTACTAAACCCTTTATATGCCAGTCCCATCACGGTTATGTCGTACAACCTCCACTTCCAACACTTCTGAAAAGCCTTGAACAAGGCGGATTTTCTCGCTTCCGTCGCCACCAATGTACTCCTCTACATCAACACTTCCGCTCTAAACCTAGAAAGAATACCTTAAATTATCGTGAACTGTGCCTTCCAATATGCCGTGGAAAAATGAGTTCCTCGTTTTTCGCTAGCTTCTGTATTTTCCAAAAATTTTGAGGACTTTATGTACAACAACATCGCTTTATTTTTGACGGAGGCTTCCCAGTATCATTTCGTTTTGAGTTACTATTGCAGTGTCGCTTTAACGGTTTGTCCATTGCAAAGCGCGTTAATCAAAAAAACTAGTATACTGGCTTATTAATCTTTTCCATTATTCGTGCAATAAAAGAAAACAACGACAACCTTGTGTATAATCTCTGAAATGATTATGAAAACTTCGAGCTTTGCCATGTAGCCACGCTAAAATTGGTTCCATAGTATGTCTAAGCAGTAATCGCATGATTGATGGAGTGACAACTTTGGAGGTGGGAAACTCTACTGTGTACCCCCTAACGTTCTGGGAAGAACTCTATTACAGAGGCTGTTGCGGCGAAACGTCAACCCCTCCCCCCGCCCCCACCCTCTGAGGGGCATGTATAGCAGAAGATCGCTTTTGCAAACTATTTTTGAAGTCCAGTTGTTTGAGTCGGCCATCAAATTTTTCTGTTGTTCATTTGTTTCTCCAACAACATTTTGTTATGTTTCAGGATTACGTGCGGTATAAACGCGCGGCTTTAAAGTGATCTCGCCTTAGTACAAACTGCCTCACAATTGCACTGACCTACAGAACTAACCATTCTTTATGTGACTACATCAATGTATGTATATTGATTGTGTATTATGTATAAAAAGGGAGTGGCGGACTAATTGTCTCCCGTGGTTTCCTTATTCGTCGTTCCATTTTTGTTGAGACATGCTGTGATAATCAGTTTCTTCGTACTTTACTACGTTTATTTGTGAAGTAATTCAAAAAATGTTACTTCAGTAAGGTGAATTTGGTTTTTTCAACCGTTCATTCGAGGTGTACAAGGAATGACTAGTGATTCGAAACAGTGTTTTGCAGTTCTTACTTTGGTAAGCGGTAATGATTGCTTTTACATATCCATCACGCTTCTGTGGACTGGTCAGCCTGATCCTAGTGACTTGAAATTATCGTGGATTCTGGCCACAGTTCTTACATTTAAGAAGTGCACAAAATCCCGTGAAATAAGTGTGGGATAGGGCTATTCAGGTTTTCGTCCTTTTTTTCAGTCTTTTTAACCGTTGATAGTATTTTAGTAGTAAGTTTCAATTCAAGTTTTCGCTCGTGTTCAAAAAATTTGTTCTCCTGTTGTAGCTGCTAAAGTCAAGCTATAGCACAAATGACCGGTCTGGCTCAGAGTAAATTTTCCTTTTGCTGTTACGCTCTAACCGTTAGCGCTAGAGACACGGAGCACACTGTCGACTCCGTTTTTATAGTTTGGTTGAGAAACCCTGTACTATTCAACTTATGGTCCGCTTCAAGAGGTGGTGGCGTGATGATATAGGTGGAATTTTTGTAAAGTTTTGTTGTTCTTCTATAGTCGTACCTATACCTCCCACATAGACCGCAACCTTTCCATGCCTTGCGAATAGGGCACGTTTCAGCCCTGGGCTCCTTGTGGGATTCGGATGTGGCGCTCGCCATATGCGGGAAATCCGCGATAGAGTTCCCGGAAAACGTAGCATTCAGTATCCTGCCTAATGCAGTTGCAGTGCCCTTCCAGCCAAAGACCTAGTGCCTCATCGTAAATGAGACTGACTATGCAATGGGTTATACGAAGAACTCATAAATCCACTCTTCGTATGTCTCGAATCCAGTGCTTCGGGTGCATTTGATTCTTGAGATAGCCACCCAGAACAGTAAATCCTTATAAATCTGACGATTGGGGGACTCATCTGAGAATACATAGAGGTACAGTTTACGTTACCTTCGGAGTATCTAGTGTGAGATAATGGAAGTGATGGTCAAGAATAGCGCAAAAGTAGTGAAGAAACCGCGAAAATCGGGGTATTTGGACGAGCTGACTAAACCATTGCGTACAGCTAGCTACGGTAGCTGTCTGTGTGCAACGTGTACGTCCCCGGACGAATTTTGCAGGCCTCCAGCCTATAGCCTCCAGCCTCTACAACTCTGTGAAAACTCCTCCGTCTTTAGATATGCACTAAGTCGCTAAGTCGCTTTTGGGGCCCACTTTGTCTAAGCCATTTTTCTATCCGACACTGTCCCTTGCACTGTTCTTGAGAGTCGCAAGTTCATCCTGGAGAGAAATCTCACCAATTAATTTTATCGCGAGTTGTGTCAAGATATATGTAACTAAGGCGATGTTCTGTTGTGTATGAACTCTTCTTGGTAGCCCTTTCATTTTCTTTAATTGAACTTATCGAGCCTCTTCAGACTCATTAGTCTCAGTTCCTAACCCATGCTAGAAGGAGCAGCACACGGACTTCTTGAATTGTGGGAACTTCGGGGCTATCTCTGTGCAGCTGTCAAAATCACGCGCTTTCATAAAACATTTTTTCACTGATGTACACTGTTACTTCTTCTTTTGATTTAGGATCACCAAATGGCAAAATATTCATTTGCCTGCTTATGGTCACTATCCCGCGGTGATGCTACCTGCTCATGGCTACCACTTACCAATTCGAAAATTCGCGCCGTACTGTGTCACTGTACAGAACTTTATGCAGAAGGTGCAGCCAGGCATGGATTCCACCGGCACGTCGGAAGAAACCCTTCCTTTGCCTTGTTGAAAATACAGAACCTAAGCACGAATGATCGCCGCCGTCGCCCATGTGTTGACCCGGTTCCGACTGGGTGGTGTTGATGCAGTACCTCCCTTCATAAACCCGACTCAGACTTTGCATGGGCCGTTGAGCTGATGTTGGCCAACGACGCCCAATTTGTCGCTGCCTTCTGCTACGATTCATTGCTTTCGAGATCCAAATATGCACCACCTGCTAGGTTTTTTTCATGTATCACTTCATGTTCCATTCCTCGTATTTTTACTTTTTGTAACGACCTATGAAATCGTGCATCTTTGCGTACCTTCACGTCATAAGTCATCTCGAAGCTAAACGTTTCCGAAGTTAGAAGTACTACCGATCTCAGCTCACCAAGTCCTGCCAGAAGTGATATTCAAAAGAAGCTTGAAGAGCTCTGGTCTGGAATAGTATGAGTTGAGCGGTGCCCTAAACCATTCTCCCTGAAATTCTCGAATTTGAGAGGATGTTTCATTCGAGTTCGAGAGCGTTGACGATTGATGAACAAAGTCGGGCTACAGTTAGTGCTCTGCAGAGGTTCTGTGGCTGATTTGATTACAAGTGAACGTTTCCACTGTTGTGTGGCCGTGACTGCCAATAATTGGCATAAACTAAGGGTATGGCCACCGTTTCCTTCTTCTCCATAGCAAATCACTTGTCTCAATGAACGCTATTCTATTTATCAAGTCGAATGCCATTCAGCGGGTGAGCCCCGATCCCTGCTCCAGGGCTAGTTGCCACCCAGGATTTGAGAGACTATCCAGTGGAGAGCATGCGGCTGAAATAGGAAACAAACAGTGTTCTCCGAGGATTCATGAATCGTTGAATGTCATTTGCTCTGGGGTGTAGAACTGTGCACATTGCAGTCGTATAATTTGGCATAGGGAGCGGAAACGGGGCGGTTAATCCCCAGGATGTCTTAGGTCGTTTTATGCTCGTCGACGCTAGACGCTTGATGCTTGACGCTTCTCCCTCCCCCCTTCCGTCATAGTGACAACTACCTTGCTATTTTGAAGAGTTTTTCTCAAAGTCGAAAGTAACAAAAGACCAAATAGAGGGCTACTTATAATAGCAACCTATTGCTCATCTTTGAAGTAAAAGGCGAATAATATGGCAAACCAATTGTTAGAATTCCATTCGATAATGATAGAATCGACCAGATTCGAACTGTTTTATTGTGATTCCATCGATGCTACTGATGTGCTGCTGAGTTATTTCACTTGTGTAGGAAGTCTCCACCCATTCGTCAGGTATTTACCTTATCCTATGGCTAATGGAGCTGATCGAAGAAGATTTGGTTGAAAAGTCTGAAGAAATATCATTTGGACTCCGATGTTTATCTATGGGTGTGATAGTTAAATCACAGAACGTGAGCAGTACAATGAATGTGTTGGAGATGTATCGTGAGCATCCTTCGTTACCGAAGCAGAACTTGAATAATTTTTTGGTCTTTTAGCTTCTTCCCCATGAGCTCCTTCATGATCGGTTGTTCTCGTCATCGTCTTGCTCGCATTCACATCGGATTCAGTGTATAAAAATCTCAAAGGATTTCAATAATCAAGCGATAGAATGTTAGCCTTTCCCAATTGCTTCTGCACTTTTCTACCTTATGCAGAAGATATGTCAATAAGAGTGGTTCCAACTGATGGGGTCGCCACTGGAGTAGCATATACCTATACAACAAAACCAACCCTTATTCGTGAGCACTCAGTTCACCAGTTTTTGCTCAATATCCGTTTTTCGCTCAACTGCGCCCGACTGATCCTCGCTGATTGAATGAATCACAGATAACCCGACTGGTCTTCTATCCTCGGATAGGAAACCTGCGAACCCGTCCATCGGAGAACTGATTCGCTGAAATAGTAGGACGTGATGACTTGCGCTGCGCTCCCGGTAAATGACGCGGCGCGACCGCTTGCAAATCAAGCAGTTCTACTGCTCATTTCCTTCATGATTAATGCATAGAAGACATTCTCTGTGTTAAAGTGACTCATTCTTATGTTGTATCTCTTCACGGATTGATTTGGTTCCAATAAAGCATGGTCATCACTGTAACTTTTGCGATTATTTTAATGTAAACCTTTGAATTTGTTTGATGTGCTCCCAGCTTGTATAAACAGAATAGAATTTTCACTCGTAATTCTTAACGGTTTCAGCACTGAGGCGCTCGAGAAAGTAAACACCCAACCATGGATTTTATGCAGTTGTTGGACACTGCTAATAAGAATGCAAAAAGTTTATCGAAGAAGATTGATGTACTTAAAAGTGAGGTTGACAGTGAGAAGCGAGCAGAATTGAAGCGTATTGAAGCAGAGAAAAAATTAAGAACGGAATCGTTGAAACGGAAAAAAGAAGTAACAACTTCGGCTGAGGTGGAGAAGAAGGTGAGACGTTCCCTTTAGAGCATCCACAGTTTTTTGATAAGCCTTTTTCTTTGTTCCAGTTTGTTATACCGAAAAAGAAAAAGGAGTCGTCTGATGAGGACAAAGCGAAAGTGTTAGCTTACCTTGCCAAAAAGGCCGAAGAGGAACGGCAAGCTCTAAAGAAAAAACAGGCCGAGAAAGAAAGATTGATTCAACTACGCCTCCAAGCGCATGGTGGTAAGGTAAGGTTTTGTTGCGGAAACCTTTTCTTCAAGGCTCGAGTCCTCTGGTATCTGTAGCCCTTCTCCATTTGGGTGTTTATCAGTATTGATACACAAATTCGCCTTGGATGCGATCCTTAACCTTCCTCTCAGTTCCATGATACCCATATCTGCTCCCTTCATTGGTATGCAGATAGAGTTAGAGTGACTGGAAATTATAGTGCCACTGAAGAATGGTATATGGTAAAAAGAAGTGTGAAAGGTGCATTTGTACTTTGACGAGTAATGATACAAAGGGAGTTTTCGGGAGCTTTAGGTAAGTAAGCAACACTATCAAATTGTTTCTTACTCCCCTTCCATCAGCCTTTTTGCAGGGAAGGGAAAAGGTGCATCAAAATAGGTTGGGGCCTTTTTCACTGCGTTCGAGAGTATCTCATACCCTATGCAAAACTTCTCAAAAAAAGCACTCTAGTGTCCGATTTTGTTACATTTTCTATAAAGAAATGTGTTAATAGGTAATTCCTTTCAAGGAGAGTCTGTGTCGGTAGTTGGTTGGAACAAGGGTTGTTAGAAAAAAAGGTGTTATAAACCATGTAGGTTTCAGGCTTCGAAAAAAATTGCAAAAAATTTCGGCTTAACCGCCTTGGACATGCAAATCAGGTACGGTCACGATCACGAACATGTGGAAAGGCTGCAGAAGCAAGCGTGGAGGGAAGAGGTTTGTGAAATTGCTGATCATTCACAAAATTCATTAATCTTCTTTACGCAACGATTTCAAGGAAGAACGAGATAAACTGGCTGCTCACTACAGGGATGGTGTGTATAAAGCAATAGCTCATAAAAGAGAAATCGAGGAAAAGGTGAGCAAAGAATCTATAATATCTTGTCATTTCATTTTATTCGGAATGTCGCCTTACAATTTTGCTATTGCAACACTGTTTGTGGTTTCACTGTGTGTCTGCTACGATGTCATCTGCTATTCAGGTAAAACGTAGTGGTGGTCCACAAAGTAAGCAGCCTCATCGTGCTGGTGGCAGCAAGTCGGATAGCATCGCAGGGCCTTCTAATCGTCACCAAAACAAGTAAGCCAATTAGTATTGTGTAAAATAGTTACCACAGATCACTATGATCTCATCGTATCAATCTGGAAATCGATACCACTTTCGACTGGGAAATCTGGATGCCGCTTGTGTGAGAAATTTGCTACCGTGTGTGTCGCTTTCGCTAAGTGGCTCAACATTATCTATAGAGAGGGGTGTTGTTTTGAATTATTGGCAGCATTTGATATCACAGTTTGTTGTTTGCACTTAACGATGTGATTATTGCTTCTGTGTCGTGGACGTTGAGGCCGTGCCGTGTTGCTTCAGTCAAATCTATAACTGTGTGTAGCTTTTACTGGTGGATCGAGTTCTCTACGATCTTTGCGCTGTTATTGTAGAAGAGATGCTAGCTGGCTGTCAGAACTGAGTCACGGTTGAAAGTTCCAAATAGGAAGAGAGGAAACATTGAGGGGAGAGGCGCTGTTGCTACACTACAAACACTATCGCGTCAGCCTTCAACTAGATTTGCGGAAGTACTCCTATCTTAACATTTCTACCATCATTTATTTCAGTTCTGGTCGGCCTTCTTCCCTTAACGACGTTTCTTCACAACCGAAAGTGCGTGAATCTGGCGCTGAAATGAAGAAGAACAAATCGGCATCAGTTCTCAATTTTGAGTGGGTTGCTGCGTTTTTCGGTTTGGTATTTGCCGTGAAAGAAAAACTTTACTGGTCTATTTGTTGGTGTGGGTCCATGATTGATGGTGTGCACTATTCTATCACTCGGTAGTCCAGCTTGATCTTGTAAAGCTTAGCCAAGAATTTCGCGCCGTCACGCGTCTTTTTCTTTGATAGTTGTGACTCATGAGTGTCTATAGTTTTTCTGCCAAGTATGTGAAAGGTTCAAGCGAAAGTGTTTCATCTGTAAAAATGATAATTCCTCAAGTTTGGGAATACTTCGCTCATCTTTCGTGGGTTCGTGACCATGAAGATGGTAGCAAAGCTGCGTCAGGTGAACACCTTCACTCCTTGCCTCACATATGTGAAGTGAAGGAGATTGTGAGCTGTGAAACATCAAAAATCCTGTTGAGTTGTCTATCGGGTCAGGCGCGGTATACGTGGTGGTGAGAAAAGTTTCGTTACTCTCAACTTTTGCCTGTATAACTCTCAGACCGCATCTCTGTGTGTTCGATTGTCTGCCACTCATGATCTCAACTCATCTTGATCACTAGTAGAGGTAGAGTTAAAATTCGCTCCAGTAGTTCAGAATGATGCCGGTTCATATTATTTTGCAGCGTTATTTACTAAGGCTTAACTTCTTTGCTTGCGGAACGCTCGAATTCGTAGTTGTTAAGCTGGCAAAAGACGAAAATTCTCTATAGTAATTCCATCGATACGATCAATTAAAGATAATAATTACTACTTTGTCCGCCCGACAACCTATGATAATTCCCATGTTGGTCAGAAAGAAAACTGGACTGATACGTTGTTTTAGTAGCTTTGTATAGAACCTTTCAATGAATAACGAAAGCAATCCTTGTCGTTTATGCGTTGAGCTCTAAGCGATTCATGTGTCCAACTGGTGGGAATGTGATCGTAAAAATCGAAATTTCGCCAGTTTGTATGCTATAGATCAGTGTTCTCCTTTTCAAATTGTGAGAGTTCGCGCATGATAACATATTCAACAGAAACTGGTTGAGAAGTGGTGTAGGTGATCTCGGATTCTACAGTTCACAGCTATGGTAAGGGTCAAATCAAAACAGAACCAGGAAGATCGTTGGAACCATTTCAGTACGGTAGTGTTGAATTTTGTGAAGTCATGCCTGAAGAAAGTTAGCAACAGCTGGTGTTCAAAAGTTCTTCCACATCGTTCAAACTAGACAGACCGCATGTAACTTTCCTGCCCTGATCAATAAGTTATGAAGGTTTTTGATATCGTCTGCAAACTACCATAGTTCGAGTTCCTCATCTTTTCTCCTTTTCATCGTCTTAAGGAAATATTTGTTTGAATCGAGTAGTATATTTTGCAAGTACGGAGTTCTCTTCTGTCTCATATTGGAGTGAGGATTTGGATTCCTCGACCTCAGGATTGTACTTCTCCAGCGCTCCCGAGTGATTATTCATCAAAACATGTATCAAGGGTATCGGAGTTATCGGCAATAGAGCCTACGTTGACGATTAGAAATAAGATTTCGTAGATGCCCGATCCTACTACTACTTACATCCGATTTGGAGGTCGATCCTTTATTGAATTCTTGTTTGCGACAAATGCGTAAATGGTGTTTGCTATGACTGCTCATTATTCAACGTTTCATACATGGAAATAATCTAAAATTTCGCAGGATTCCCAGGAAATTGCATCAAACCCTCACCAGAATACAGCTTTCGCTTTTTTTGCTTGAAGTTTTTTCTTGCTTCTTCTGCGTTTATGACAGTATTTTTTTAAAATATGAAAATTAAATTTGTTATCTGTCTGTGGGACAACATGGGTGAATGGTGAACGACGGTTGGCCAGCGTATCCAAAGTTTCTCTTTCTTCAACGTGTTTAGTAAGATTAAGAAAATGCTGAAGTGTCAAGACCGAGTGGTGGCACAGTATTAGGCTTGCGGCCACGGCTGGATGACCGAACCCTAGACAGTTTGTTGCTGAGCCAAGAGTTGCTTAAAGATCTGATATTAGACGCATTCTGTCTGAGATGCCTGAAATACACTGTTTTAAAGATATCAACCTTTTTATCTTCGAGCAGTGTTTGAACTTATGGCTGTAGGACTCTTCTGGTATTTTTTGTCGATTGTGAGATTTTTTCAGTGCTTTGATGAAAACTGCAAAGGACATTGCCGAAGGGAAGGATTGCAATCTCGGTTCTCAATACGATCGGAGTAAAGATAAGAATTCTTCTCGAATTGCGTACGTTTCCAGTTCCTCAAATTTTCTTACTTTTTAAAGTCAGTTTCCCAACTTGTTAGTTATTAATGGCATTTATCGTGCTATTGCCATGTGCTACGCCATACCAACTTTTCTCTTATGTTAAAATGACAACGCAAAACATTAGTCGTAGGGTGATATAAAGCCGTAGGCGTGTGCGGTTTTTTCTAGTCAAGTTTTTATCAATTACGGGCTATGCAATGATTATTATTTACAAATAATGAATGACGATGTGTATTTTTGCAAAGTACGGGCTGCTAGCCCCAATAGTTGCCCGGTTCTGTCTTAGATAAGTGATACGAACCTTCAGTCGTCTTTAAGATGTAATTCTTTTCCTCACAACCACTTCCTGAAATGAGACTGATTCTTTCTATATTAATACGATTCCCATTCAGTGAGAGAAATGATTAGTGATAATCAATGCTATGCAATGGCTCGGCCATTTTAGTGGTCTTTTCATTTTTTCTGCTCTTCTTCTGTCTCTGTAAGCCATAAGTTTGCGACTCGTCGTCAGGTTTTCAGTTCCTGCAACACTTCCACTCTTGCATCGAGTCTGGAATTCTAATTAAAATTCTTCTCTTTATGATGTAGAAGTGGAAATGATCAAAACCCGTCTGCTGAGTCATTTCTATCTCAACTAACGTAGCTACTTCAATTACTAAGTGTCCCCTTTTTTAGCAGCAGTTGATTTTCGCATGTAGGCTTAGAGTGTATTAAAAGAGCTTCTTCCGCCAGATTGGCTCTGCAGTCTTGTGTTGCGCCTGATTTGCCGTGCTCATAAGACACAAGCCTTTGATTGGTCTGGAGAATTCATCATGCTCATCCTGAATAAATCTTCAGCAATTCATTAGCAGTTCGTCCAGCATCTATAACCTAGGGCGATCGGATTGGTCACTTTTTCACCCCCTATTATGTGCTGTGCCATACGTGAAGTGCATGGCTAGACTGTGTAATAACAACTAAAGTACGCTTAAGAGTTTTGATCTTCTCAGAGTGGTTCGATACCATTTTAGAGTGGAGAAATGGTGCATTTTGTAAGCATGACGTATAATCGGTTCCCTGACCATGCGTGTAATAATTGCTCTGAATCAAAAAATCATGGAAAATCATCTTTTCTCGGCTTATAAGCAAGAAATTCTTTCGTCGTCCACATTGCATCCAGTAGCTCATTCTAAAAGCTGCTCTATTTCTAAAAACTTCTTAACGTTAACATTACAATGAATCATGCTATCGAGTAACTCAAGAAGTACGGAGCTACTATTTATCATTTTCCTTTTCGATAATTCTATGTTTTCTCATGCTGATAACTGAAAATTCACTGTATTGTTTCCTTGCTTCCCACTTCTTTCAGCGGAACTCCTCACTTCCAACAATAAGTGCGCTGTATCCTGCGATATGCATAATATATCTATTTGCTATTCAGCGGTGCATTTATGACAGTTTTTTATATGTCTCCGTTTTGAAGAAACCATGTTATAATTTTATCTTTGCAATTTTATTTTGTTTGAAATTACAGCCCCGCTCCATCTCGCATTCCGAAAACGTCTGACTTGGGAAAATCGATCAGTCGTTCAGGTGACCCGCCTCCATTGGCCAAACATTCTAAGCAAACTGGGTAAGCGGTGTTCTTGGTATTCATATGTTTTCTATTTCGAACAGAGCACTTTGATAATGGTCCTACCGAATTGTTATAGGAGGTAACATTGAAAGGAGCTGTTCCCTGCAGTTTATGCTCTTGTTGGTGATGGCTATATTTCGAAATATTTCTAACTGGGTATGAAGGCGGGACAACCATGTCTATCCATTCATCGTAGCTTTTCTGACCTAGACCTGCAAAGATGGAATAGAGTGTGATTGTACCTTTTGTATGTGCACGTAGAGATGCTGCAACTGCAATTTGATCTCTCGGCTGTGATATTACTGAGCGGCCCAACAGTGTGGGATGTAGCGTCTTCCAAGGTAGATCATGCCTCCATCTATGATGAATTTGAACCATTTTTTGTAAGATTCTTAAGTAGAAGTAATTTTGTCGTCAAAAGGCTTATTACTTACTCTCTAAGACACCTTCCATTCCACACAAAGAAGATGTGTGTCAAGAAGCGCTCTGAGTTTTGTTGTGCTATTTCTAAACCGAATCTCGCAGTAGTAGCCACTACGAAACTTGCCGGACCAACCTCATTGTGTACTGACTTTAAATTTATTACTGTTGGTGGTTAATGTATAGTAGATTATGAAGTTTCTCAAAATCAAATTTGACTTTTCTTTACAGTTTGTGAACGTGTCGAGACATTTTTATTTGATCGATCAGTGCAATCGGCTTACAAGGAGTACGAATTCAAAGTGTTCTACGATAACAATTAATTTTTTAATAATCAGGAGCTGTGAGTCAAATCCGAGGGGAGGATCATTCAATCGTGGAACCTCGCATGATCTTCATGTTCGCCCAGAAAGAACAACTCCATCATCAAAGGACAACCGGAGCAGCAACCTACAGAAGAGTGCACCCGAGGAAAATGATGATATGAAAAAGAGTAGGAAGGAGTGAGTGACCATCAATCGTTTTCGTTGCGAATTTGAGCTATGTTTCCACTGCGATGTGAGGATCGTGGTCGGACCCAAGTAATCACCAGTGGGTTGGCGTGATGGCGCCCGCCCACACACCAGCCGTGCTCTCAACTTTGATTTGATCTTCTTAATTTTTGATTTTTAGCCACAAGGGTCGTTTCAAAAAAGGTCCTACTCCTCCTCCTCTCATCCCACCTGCTGTTGAAGGAAAAAGGTGAGATTCGAGATATATCATACATATATTCATGTTTGGTTGATTAGTACTAAAAAAGAAGCCTGATTAGTACCAGATGATTGCTTTTTTTGAACCTCAGTCCATGCTTTTTACGATTCCCTATCTCCAGACTTTTGCGACGGACAGAGCGCTCCTTCCGACATTGTCATCTCCTTTCCTCATTCTTCATTCTACCTGGGCTAGATCCCATCCCTTCTTGTTTTTTTTTTTGTTTTTTCAATTCCTGCCTACTTTGTTCTCTCCAATCCTATTCCTTTTATATTTCATGAAATCATGTCATGAAATACTCCAGCTTTTCAAAAGGGCTCTGCCTACCTTCCCCTTTCAAAATTTCTTAACAATCAAATCTGAGGAGGGATTATATTTTTCGGCTTTGACCTACTTTCAAACGTAATCCTCAAATCCTACTGTTATTCTTGCTTCAGGCGATCGATCTTCATTTTTATATCATTATTATAAGAATCTCCGCTGGTAGATCCTCCAGATAACGTATTATTCGACTGACTTTTGCAATATTGCTTCTCCGGATTTTGTAAAATGGGAAGCTGCAGGGCGTGTTTAATTTTCCATGTGGATGGACTGCATAATTAACGCAAAACATCCTTGCTTGATTCTCCTTTTTTTCTTTTCCTTCTCATCGATTTTTTCTCACCTCCAGATATGAAGTGGTGGATGAACGATTTAAAAAATGGCTCCTTCCACTCATTGCTCAATAATCTGTTTCCATCATTGGTTTCTTTTTTGTTTTTTTTTTAATGATGGTTCAGGTACCTTCCTGGAGATATTCGATATAAAAAAGCGGCAGATACTTCAAAGCCTGCTCAGTCTTCCAACCCACCAGGTTTTTTTTTCGTTCCCGTTACATTGAAATTTTCCTATGGTTTTTTTCTTTTTGAGGCCAACCGGGACCTTCGAAAGTTGTGTCGAAATCGGAGGCAAATTCGAAATACATGGAAGAACGTAACAAGCCTGCGATCAAAAAACCCGAATTCGATCGTAATCGTCACTTGGAAAAGGGAAAATCCCAAAAGGATTCTTCAAGGGTTCAAGACTACATGCCTCGGTAATTATCGAAGCTAATTTGGTACAAGCACTGTATTCATAGGTTCTCGTTAAAATCTATTATTTGTAGTAAACGAGATGATGTCCGATTGCATGACCGAAAGCGAGACAGCCGTGACCATTACGACAGAGCTCGTGATAGGGAGAAATATCAACGCTACGATCGCGCATATGATTACGACGACGTCGTCAGTGATGAGGACGACTATGACAGCGAGATGGATGACTTTATAGATGATAGCGGCTTGGATATGGATGAGCTAAGTCGACAGGAGTTTGAAGAGACGCTCAAGTAAGATATCCCTTGCAGTTCTTAAATTGATACCTATCATGTTACTTTTATGATGTCTGATATTAAGTGGGCATACGTCTCTAAGCTCTATATCTGGACATTTGAACTTACAAGCTGTCGCTAGGCTTTCCTGTGGACTCTTTAATGACCAGGGTCATAATGATGGTTTTGGAGACAGCATGGGGGAAAGCCTAATGATTCAACTGGAATTGTTTTGCAGATTTCAAAAATTATCTCTTCTTTTTGATCCTTGTAGGGCTGAAAACAATGCATGAACGATTTAAAGTTCGACTTTATGCCTTTTTCTTTCTTGTTTGTTATGAGTTATTCGAGACTGGGAATGATTCAGGATGGTGAATCCCAAGTACAACAAGAAGAAATGGAGAGAACGCGAGCAGACTATTAGTCTAAGGGATATGCATGCAGATTATCGAACGATTGCTAGAGAGGAGGCAAGATCTGCTAGAATCGGGCTCATAGAAGATCTACACGAAGCGACGAAAGGGAAAAGCGAGGCTTTATAAAATAGCTGCTCTATTACACTTCATAGAGTTCCTCAATGCTTCTGAATATCTACTAGCAGTATTGAAGCTAATAGGTTTAAGTCCAATATTTGACCGTTTTAGGCTTATTCAGCTCACTTCTAGCTGACAAGGCTGATTTTTATATTTCAGTCTTTCTTTACAGTGCTAAATAATGTTACTAGAATTTTACAGAAAGCAATTTTCATAATTATTATTCGACCAGGAAATGTTGAGTAGTATCGGGCACACCGGTGTAACTTATTCAAACAAAAAACAAAACAAAAGGATTGCGGTCAGATTTTATGATTTTATTTTAATTAGAATGTACGTAACATTCAAGTTCCAAACAGGACCTCGGATTCTGAGAAATTAGAGAGAGAGAGGAGATTAGTAGGAACAGCTGGGAATGCCATTCCATTTTTCTCGAGTAGAATTGGAAATAATGACGTGCTTAAGCTCGTTTTTAGTGTTTTTACAGTAATCTTGATCACTGCTTTCTATGCTCTTCTAGCTTCTTCTAATTGATTATTCCTCTGCTGTAAATTCAATTCCCTGGCGTAGAATACTCCTCTAACAAACTTCTGTTCTACATTATTCTAGTGCAAATTTCCTTCATACTCGGTCAAAATAGACACATCCAACCAATAGCATGGGCGTTTAATCTGAAATATTCCCTATAGTTGGATTCAGGAGAAGGTAGAAAATACTGTCTACAACTCACCGAAATAAGACGGCAGATTTACAGCAAGACGGAATGTACATCCAAAAGTCGAATCAAGGATTTAGATGGGAGCGTCTGTTAGGCGTATCACACTTGATCGGCACTGGCCTTCTGAGCCTTTTGAGCTATGTGAGAGTGCTATTTCGGTCCTTTTGACCTTCATTTGAAAGAGCCTTGTAGCAAATGGCCTTTACGAAAAGTGCTCTTTGGTCACCCTGTTCCTCTCTTATATACATATGTCCAGTACTACGGAAGCAGCGAGCTTAAGAGCTTTCCTTCTTGACCATTCTATGTGCAGGTATTATATGTGCTTATAAAGTATTTGAAACCAATCTCGTGATTTTTCCAAAGCTTCGGTGAACTTCGTTTCATCTTTCCCTTTCAGTGAGCAAGCAAATAGACTTCAGAAAAAGAACTCAGAATAAATGATAAAAAATAGCTTTTTCGAGCCCTTGGTACGACGTTGTATCCGAGTGAGCTGGAACGAAAATCCAGTATTTCGCTGACAAAAGTTACATCTCACGACAAAATTTTTAAATTATTTGTGTACACAAATCCTCAACCCGTTACATATATGAAGTATCGAAAAGGGATCTTTGGCGGGGAAACGAGATGGGTGCTTGGGTAAACCAGGAGGCTGCACTGCAGCACCACAACTCGTTTGAATTGGGACCTTCAGCCGGAATACTGTGAGAATCGAGTGCCGTACAGTGAATCTTTCAGAGTAGTGCGTTGAGCGATGAGCAGAGTTGAGCGTCGGTGCTCTGTTGATGACACCGTTCATCGATCGATATCGAACGGGTCGGGGTGACTAAGTCTTCGAGCGAGTTTAATTGGTTCTATTATTCACTTTATTTCTTTTTGTACATATATTTGATATTTTCTTATATGACTGCTATGGTATTATGGGATGGAAGTATTCTAATGTGAAAGAGCTCCGCGTAGCTCGGCTTGGAAAGAAACATGCTCCATCGCAAACACTAAAACAGCAATATGTAACAACAGCCAGCGGTGGCATGGAGGTTAACGCGCGCTCAGCGCTCAACGCTCTACTCTGGGAGCGCCCGTTCATTTTTGTTCTGAGTGGAATGTGCAAATCTACGTACGATAGTGCAGAACCACCTTCCCTTCTTGGGCTATTAATTATCAGTGTAGCGTAAATGCCTAGAAATTCACGAATCTGATAGACCATTGCTCCCTTGCTCATGTTGAATCCCAAAATTTTGATGACGGCAATAACATTAAAAGTATACTCTATGTTATTTTTCTGACACTATCACGTCATACTTTCTTATCTGGATTCCAAATACACGGAAGAACGTCGGTTAGATTGAATTCGTCTTATCAGTTGAATTATGCAAAACACTAGTCTTATTTGTGTTTTAATTGTGTTACGATAGTGTCGTTCATACTTGTGATGTGCATGTTGTGATAAAGAAAGTGTCTTTCAACTTTGATGAGAGTTAGCGATGAATTTTGGGTCATCAAGATCCTTTTTACTCGAAATCTTTTTGCTGACTAGTTTGATTCATTCGCTGTTTTATTACTTGAACTGTTTGCTTGATTTTTGATTCACTCCGCTGTAATAAATATGACAACGGACAAATATTTGAAATTGCAGAGGTTCTCTCCTTCGATGTTCCTCAGATGATCAGCTTGGAATTTTACTTGGAAATTACTGGATGCATACGTTCTTATTCATGCAAACTTTCTTTATCATACATAGGAAGTTAGGCTCACATTGTAACGGAAAATGGGCAATCTCTGATGAGGCTGATCTCTCATCTTTGTACCACATTTGCCTCACACCAGGACCTGTACTGCTCGTCCTGAGATCCATAGGACCTAACTTCTAGTTAATGGATCGTGTGCTTTTTCCGCTCAAATACAGTAGGCCATTCTTCCTTCTTGCTCATTTCGCCCCCACCTTTATTGGCAAACTGATGACCACCATCCCAACTTTGGGAGTCACAGTTGTTTTGACGATCGATGCCTGAAACGAGAGTCAATGGATTCGTTTCTTGAGTAACCCGCTTGTTACTAAAATTGTCTTACAAAGCGAACGATGTCCACATAAACCAAGTTTTTGGGTCGAAAATCAGCGCTGGATTTTTTCTCAACGCTCTGGATATCATTATTTATGTGACCAAGCTTTGCTCGGTGTCCTCCACGTCTTCCTCCGTCACTTGTCCGTCAGCGCGGGCTCCTAAATATGCGTGAGGTGAGGGGAATGGATGTATTCTTTGTAGATGCACTGCTCGGAAGTAATCCACACTGCGTCAATTCGGTTGGAGGTCACTTCCTTCCCTCTTGTGCAGGATAAAGGAAGCGAATGTCGAATATAGAGACGAAAAGAGTCCCGACAGGACATAAGTTGACACATCAAATGTATATTATCTGGAAGGCTTTATAAGGGGTACTTCGACCTCCCCTACCTCAAAGGATGTTATGGGTATTGAGGAGTCACTGTAGTTTTGAAAACCGTGAGTTATGTGACTGTTTATTTATCTCTTCTTCTCCCCCTTGTATCCCTTTGATCATCGACTTCTTCAAAAGAGCACTATAAACTTCTTGTTTTGCCCCCGTTGCGGGCCAATGGAAGTCGACCTCTTGATCCATCGAAGTAATTAATTTGCATGACCTTGAGGCAACCTGACCTTCCATCAATTGTCATGTACGGCACCGAAGTTGCTCATCGTTGGCTGACGGGACACCTCCTCTGTTTTCGCGATTTTTGTGATCTCTGAACATTGTCCTCTCAAAACCCATTGAATGACGTCGATGTGCTTATCCTGCCTGCACGGAATTCAGGTTTCTCTGACACATGTCGCGCATTAGAGTTCGAACGACCAGTGTGGCATCGACCAGTAAAGGTAATTTTGAGATATTTTGTTGATATAGATGTTGACTCCTGGTGTTTGATATGTTCCCAGGTGTATGGGTATGGGAGAGAAATCAGTGGGGGAAATTCAACCAACGCAAGATTAGTTTTGATCATGGACCCTTTCTGTTATGTGGCGAGTTCGACTTTTCTTCACATGAGTTTAAGATTATGAAGTTTTACTGAGTTTCCGGTTTTCTTGGACGTGCTTTTTCCGCATTCGGTTTCTTAAAAGCCTTCCCATAGTCTGTGTTGTGGTCCCTTGGCTGTCCCGGAAGTGAGTTATAAAACTCTGAATAAGACAACCCTTCTACAGCCCTTTCCTTGTCTGGCATACATCCTTTTTAGGATAATTTTGCTTTCCTGCTGCAGCCTCCTCATTGTTTAGCTATTCGACTATGTTTCGACAAGTTCTCTGTGGAACTGTTTCTCCATCCTGACCACTTCAGTTCCACTGTCTTATCGAAACACCGGTTACCATCTTTTTTCACTCTCCGTATCACCACAAATTTTTGGAAAATCAATAAGTAAATGCTAATCTTTCGCCTACTAATGCAGAAACAAAATTGATTCAGGTTTAAAAGTTATATGCGTAGCATATAGGTTATTAAGATTTATACTAACATAAGATGTAATGAAAATGAAATGTCTCATGTTAAATGCTCGCGTTTGGTCATAATTTTATTTCAATCTTAAGAGTAAGCAGGACTGATTACTGAAGTTGTGAATAACATGTAGAGTTCCATTATCAAAATTGCTGCTTAAGTTGTCCTGAAATTGTGTGGCATCAGTCGGCTATTCCAATTTAACGACAAAACGGAGAGGAGTCCAGTCGCATATGCTGATCAGTCCAGAAAAGGTCTGTGCCGCAGTTGTGGTTTTGAGCCATTGAAGTAGACGGTGTATGAAGTGTCCAGAATAGAATAATTGTTGTTGTTTATTTTAGGAGACTCGTTTTATCATAAAGCACGTCCACACGATTAGTCTCTCCGTTGTCCATTGCTCAGCTTCTCTTTACTTTTCGAAAAAAACTGAAAAGGTACATTTGCCTTCTTTCCTTCGTTTCCATATTGTAGAGAAGAATATGGTCAAAACTATTGAGATGGTTACATTCCAGTGTTCTTGTATTTGAAAGAAAAAATTTCAGAGTACTGCTCGGGTTTCCAAATGGCGGTGTGGCCGCTTCATCGTAGCTCGTCTCTTCTCGAAGCAGCGCCCCCTAGTTTTCTAGTGATACGGCGTTTAACTGGATCCGCTATGAAAAATCAGAAAACGCCGTTGAAGGGTCGATTATGTATTATGGGAATGATTTATGGAGGTACGATTACGAAAATGTCATCAACACTTTTCCTTCAATCCTTCATGGTTATACAATATTCAAAAGCAATGATTACAATTACTTATTACTCAACGCTCTGAAAAGATCGTTCTCTTCAGAAGCTTGACATCGCTCTTAGAGACCTAAAATTTTACATATTCTGCCTGATAACAACTCAATTTTATTCATTTGCAATTTAGGATCTCAAAGGATGAAGGCAGTTAAAATTCTGACGCCGCCCTACTCATATCAACTCCGCCAGCGCCGAGGATTTGCTCAACTTACACAGGGTTTGGTTTATTTGAGTTTTATCTGTTTTCTCAACATGCCATTTGCTCATTATTAGCTATAATTACCATTCCCCTCATGATGCTTTTCGGAAGATTCGAGGAATGATAGCTTATGGCGTTGATTCATGTCTAAACGTTACTCTCTGAATAATCAGTAATTCACATAGGGGAAAGGGTGATGATGATAGCTGTTGTATAGTATTTTCATCGAGTTAGGCGAAGCTAAAGGCAATCAGCTATCAATAAACGCGTGAAGTAGAGAATGCTCAGTCTAAGCTGTGGTCGATCCCGAATTCAAGCGGAGGTCAAGTAGTATTAAACGGACCCGCTATACATATACGATCCCGGGGTCATAAATGTATAAGCGGTTCTACTTAACACTATAATCCTCCGCTTCTCCTGAATATGTGTTTACTTTGAATTCATGTTCGGTGAGATACTGGTCATCTAATCTTTTCGTTCCCTTCCTTTTTGTTTGTATTTGGGAGTTTCTGCCCATCTCTGACTTGACTTGCTCCATGAATTCTGGAACAGTTCCAGATAGATACACTCAATGCACCGCATACCTAAATGAATAAGGATTTAAATAGAAGGAGTTATAGACGAGAAATATTAATAATGTGTTCAGAGCTTTCCTCACCTAAAAGTGAACTTCTTATCTTTGCCATGAAAAAGAAGATATTCTGTGAAGGATCTCTGTTGGATACTGTTCAGCGCTCGAATATTTTTTCCGACTGTAAGCATTTCGTGGACATGTCTCTGAAGCATGATGCAGGTGAAACAAAATGGAAGATTTATAAACATATAACAAGCGTCCATGCTTTTTGTGTCCTTTTATTGTTAGCTTCAAGATAACGATATGCGAGAGATCACTGTATGAGATTGTGCAAAACAGTTCGATAACGCTTGCTTGGAATTTTCAAAAAGCTTGTGATTGAACTTCGTTTGCTGAAGTTTCTTCTGGGTCGCTTTCAAGCTGAAGTTCGAGCAATTTTCACCACACTGTTATCGTGTCGGTAATACAATACATGGGTAGTGATGAATGATTTGAAACTGATAAGTTGCTTGAACTTCCAGCACAGGTGGAACTTACAGCTGTCTAGACACTTGCAGTAATTATAGAAAAGAAAATTTAGTGAAGCTTGATATTTTTTAGAAACTACTCTCGTTCGTTGGGAAGCGCTGAGGTCTGCTGGACCAGTGACTCCCGATCGTCTCCGTGAATTTATCACCGAGTTTTTCAATGAACCAGAAAACGAACTCGTGGAATGCGAACCAGAAGACTGGGATCCAATGGTATTATTGTATTGCTTAAACCATGTTGCTGCCAATTTCCAAAAAGCGACGGTGTGACACATTCAATTGATGCGTAGATCCGCATTTCACATAGATGGTCAATTGGGAAACATCAACTGGTTCTCTACCGAAATAATATCTTGCAAGGCTTTTTCGAACTTCAAGTGATTCTTTCAATGGAGAGAAGGCATAAACGTATATTTCGATCTTCATAAAAGTTGTGGAATTCGGGGCAGTATACCAGCTGTTTTCTTGAACGTAGTTGAGTGAATAATTCAAATGTTGCCCAAAAATGATTCATCTCAATGTCGTTCAACTGATAGATATCTTGAAGAAGAAAGCTGATGCCGTTTGTTATGGCAGCAGCTTTCTTCTTATCATTTCATATCTTGAAATAAAGTATCATTTCAAGATATGTCATCAAATCGTACTTTCTGTAGAAATTAAGAGCAATATTAGGTGGGATTTCGGCTTAATGGATTAAGTGTTTCAGAATGACGTTTTTCACTACATCAGGGATCCAAACTATCGTTCCTTTGCATTTGCTCTACACCGGAGATGGCCAACATTACATAGGACGGTACGTCCGCAAGTCTAAGTACCTTTTGTTCATTCATGTTCAACCCTAAACCGACTCGGTTTTAGATTTCTGAGAACGTGAAAGTCAGGCCGGAGAGATATTCTATCATATCGGTGCCGAATCCGTTTGTCATTCCTGGTGGAAGGTTAGTACTCTCTGAGTAACAGCATTTGAACTTGTTCAACAATTTCAAAGCCTATGGAATCATCGCATATTGTAGTTGGCTTTTTTCGGGGGCTCGTCGTGTTCGTCATGGTGCTTTGTAAATGAGAGGTGTGGTGTAAAACTTATTGTAAAATGATTGTCGTAAAAACATTAGTGGGTCATACAAAGGTGTTCTAAGAAAACGAGCTAGGCTCTCTGGGAAGTCTAATGCATGCAGGTAAAAGTGTGCAGATGTTGAGTTGAGCTGGAACAAGGAGACACCGGCTGGTAAAATGTAAGGAAGTTACGCATAGATCTGCTTAAGTGTGAGAAACAGGCGTGTGACCTAAGAAAGAGAAAAATAAGGGCATACTAAAAAGGATAATCAGTGAAGTGGAGGGTCAACATTGACAGGCAAGTTTCGTATGAGCCGGTCATAGATCACAGAATTTTCTTGTTAATATTGAATGAGGTGAGAAAGGATGGGAAAAAGGAAATAGTCAAAGGATCTACTGCTAGTGTAAGAATGAGGTTTTGAACTGCAAAGGAAAATGTGATGAATAAAAAAAAGAAATAACTAACTAATAAGATGGACGCAGGGACGCATGTTCTATACGTGCTTTCTAGATTTTTTTTCGGGGCCTCCAGCATGGTCAGTTCATCTTTGTTTCAATGCAGCATGATTTTTAATGAGTTTGAGATTAAACCTGAATGTTCATCATTTTTAACTTTATGTTAATAAGTTGCAACGCAAAGTCATGATTGACTAGATAGATGGTCACGGTGTAGGTTGCTATATGCTTACGTTTCAGCAGGCAATGCAAAAAAGTCACTTAAGGCATTTAGGGTGAATGACCGCGTAGCCCTCCGTTCGTTTCAAGAATTTAGCTGTAAAGAATATTCTGTCGTACAGTATTACTTAGCAATATTTTGAAAATCTGAGTAATAACACCGAAATATTCTACCCCACTTTGTATCGGAACGGCATATCGTGCTCGGCATCTCGTCAGTATACTACACCCGGGTTGTCAGGCTGGTCGCACACGGTTGCGTGCTACCAGCCTGACAACCCGGTTGTAGTATTCGCGTTGTGAGGGTAAAGATTTTCATTCAAAGTAGGAGGTCATGCTGTGTTTATGGTGTGGATAGAGCACTTCGAGAGCTCTGCTCGGAGAAAGGTTTCTTAAGTTTGTGAAGCTAATCTAAAGTCAGCGTTTTAAAAATCTTTGTGACTCAAATTTCACTAAAAATGACCTCTTCGGCTAGACGTACTTCCTTTGTTAGTTGAGGATTCTCGATTAGTGGAATTTTGAATATTATTTTGCCTCAAATTTAGAGATTGGTGGTTAAGACATTACTGAAATGTACAGGCAACTGTGCCGTACTACTGCCAATGATGAACTAGTTTTTTTGTGTCTAACGAATCATAAGGATGCAATAATTTTCATTGAAGGTTTCGTGAGATTTACTACTGGGACAGCTTCTTCATCATAAAAGGACTTATGGTTTCTGGAATGTATAAAACAGTTCGTGGAATGATTGAAAACATGCAACACTTAATTGAAGAGTACGTTTATATCTTTACTGGATGATGTCTCAATTTATGAACGTTTAGCAGGCTAGTCTCATTCTCATATCACAGTTCGTTATGCTGGTCATCAACATGCCACAACTCATCATTAGATAAATCGATAGAGATTGATTTTCAAGTTTTGTTATGAGTTTTAAGACAATGCAGTTTCATTCTATTCATCCATCGTGCCAATATAATTCTATCCTCATTCCTATTAGCGAAACGCAAAAGCTGTTTGTTCAGGGCTAGATCTTTTTGTAAGAAACAGTTCAAAAAAGCACATTTTGGTTTAGAAGAAAAATTTTCTTTGCTAACTGTAGAATTTTCCCGTATCGTCGTTGTATTTGGCGACAATTGTTGGTTTGTAGATTTAAATAGTGTTTCAGTCAAAGCTCCTCGACGTTCCTACATTGACGAGAAATTAGTACATCCTTTTTACAGTTACATGATTTTCAAGATTTTTTTTTGTAATACTCTGCGCCACTATTATTTGACCCAAAGGTACGGTTCACGATAATTTGGGGTTGTCTAGTTAGACAAATAAAGAAAGTGATAGTCAAGAGCAGTGCAAAAGTGATGAAGAAAACGCAAAAATCGGCGTATTTACAAAGATATGAGGCTTTAAAAGTGTAGTTAAACTGAGGGTTGGACGTGAACGTGACGATAAAAGTTTTATGGAAGGGGGATTCGGACAAGCTGTCCAAATCTGTGTGCCATTATATACAGCTGGCTTTATTGGGGGTCACAGCTTCATCTTAGGTAAAAATCTCAAAAACCATTTTTATCGTGAACTGTGCCTTTAACTTAAATATTCGAGTTATCAGAATGGTGAATGATAATGTCATTTAGCACTGGAAAACTCACCGGCGCTTAGAAGTGATGAAGACGAGGCTATTATACTCTGGCAAAACACAAACTTAAGCGGTAAAAGTTTTATTGCAGGCAATCAATGAAAGAATGGTTTTCAGGTATGGCTTTGTGCCTAATGGCAATAGAATTTATTACCTAAATCGATCTCAACCTCCTATGCTGACCTGGTGTGTTCACGAATACTTCACGGCTACAAATGACGTCGCCTTTCTTGAGCAGCTCATGCCAACTTTAGAGAAAGAGGTAGGGTAACAAATTGTATAGGCTACTTATAAGTGGGCAAAAATTTTGGTAGAAGAGCCGGTCCATCTCTTACTCAATTCAAAGCGTCGCTTCTATTCAGTGGTTTTAAACATTTCCTGTTTTGTTTTATTTACCCACTGCTCATGATCCATCTCACATAAGTAAAGTTTAAGTCTACGTTGGTACTTGCACAAAAGGAGTTACCATTATGCAGTTACAGGCTCAAGGTGTTCATTGTCTATCAGTAAGGTTTTCTGAGCTAAGCTGATTCCAGCTAACATTTTTCCGAACGAATAGATCAATTGTGATGGATGGGTGGCCTGGTCATCTTTATCGCTACCATGTTGTAGTCGATGGGCCACGTCCGGAGAGCTATTGTGCAGATTTGAAAAGTGCAGCACATCTGTACGACGGTCCGTAAGCCTTGGATCTTTTCTTCCTTACGATTGGAAGTACGTTGATGTGTTACAGAAGGCGAGAAGCAAAAACTTTGGGGCGATATCGCCGCTGCTGCCGAGAGCGGCCGAGATTTCTCAAGTCGGTGGTTCAGCCAATCTGGACCCATGGCTGGGAGATTCGAAGGCACAAGGTAAGAGGTGCTTCTCCTTCGGCTTTGTCGGGGTGTTCGCCTAACGCCCGGCAGTGGAAAACGAAGAAAATTTGGTGAGGTCAGTCGTCAGCAAGAGGCTAAGAACATGGGGAGGTTGTAAGGTTGTAAACTTGATAATGTCACAGAATGCACTCAAACGATGTCTAAGCTGATTTCCATTGGGAAAATAACATTCTGACTGACACTTTTTAGGACAAGTGAAATAATACCAGTGGATCTGAATGCAATTATTTGTGGGAATCTTCTCTTAATGCGAGATTTTTACGATGCATTGGGAGATATTGATGGATCGAAGAGGTGTGCCCAAGAGGCTGATTTGTTGAAGCAGACGATCCATCAGGTTAGTGATTCGCATAGTTTTTAGCAATGTTTTGTATAGTTTAGTATGATATAATACCATGCTGCTTGCAATGTTCCTTTTAAAGCTGACAATATACTTACCTGACAGTTTTGGTTTGGGATTGGCCTTGATGCTTGCGAGATGGGAGGTGAAGTTAATGACAAGCTTTTCAACCAACTCAGGCATCAGACAACTTGCAGAACGTGAAAAGGTCGTGAACAAGGAGATAGATCTCATTATTGTTGATTGTGCGGAGCTACTCGGTTGGACATTCTTCGTTTAGAGCGTCAAAGCACCACTTTTTTGCCTCAGCGACCTTTGCTGTCATTGTAACCAAATGGACATTTCAACTGACACTTTAATCTTGAAAGATTGAGCACTTCTAGTTTTCCAGGAAAACTCGTCTAGAACTATCGACTTCAGTTTTCGTAAACTGCATGCCAAACCATCTCAATTGACCTAGATTTCTATTTGAAATCCTACGTAAAAAAAAGCTTCCACTGGTGTTAGTGGTACCTGCTTTCCAGCCATAATCTTGTTTATTTCTAAAGCAAATAGACCATTTCGTAGTGCTTGAACTTCTTCCCAGTGGCACACAACGTACTGTGACCGTTAAGTCATAGTCCGATAAGAAAAATTTTAGTTTCGAAGAAAAAGCATTGTTGTGCAGTATTAATGCTATGGCCTGGTTAGTGTAAATCGTTCACTAAAACTTAATGAATGTTTTCTAAGTACCAGCAATGTTGTTTTTATAAGAATGTTCATGTTTCTGACATTACAATAATTGTAGGTCTTGTGGAACGAGTCAGCCGGATGCTGGTTTGATTATGACATTACTACTGGCCAACATCTGCGCATGTTCAGTGACACGAATTTCTTCCCTCTATACACGAAATCTACACATCCAGGTAACAGTCAAGTGCTCTATCAACAGAAGCTTCCCTATGGAAGGTTGCCATTTGAATTAGACTTAGGACTTATATCTACGTATGCTGATCTTGGATATGCTTCCTATTTTTACAAAACGATTCTTTGAAGTCTCGGCTTTGTCAAGGCCCAGTAATTGCTATAGGAAAAATTTAAGAAGATGAACTAATTTGTGCTGGGTGTTCCGAAATTACGGGCGCCATAAAACGTTGTGGGCAAAAATAATTGGCTGATTTAACTTCATTCGCTTCCTTTAAGTTGTGTTGATAAGTTTTTGTTGCAATCTGTCTAATTACCGAGGTAGTACTCCTGATATCTTTGAGGTAAAGGCTCACACAATGCCCTTTCTATTGCTTCGCATGTTTGGGTGAGCAAACTTGTAGATTTTTAAGAATACAATAAGGATCGTATATGGACCGTAAGAAAAATATGGATAGCAATTGAGCGATTTGTTTGGCTTCGGTTACTTCCTTGTTCCTTGCGGAGGATTCAAAAAAGTCAGTCGTCCGTATGGCATATAATACTTACTGTGCGACCATTTGTATCGTTGGCTACCATTTGTTGTGGTGTGCACCCTCTGACCGCGGCAAGCTGTGCATGATGGGGGTGACAAGCTTATTGAAATAAGTAATTTTGGTCGCAAAGATGCTCGCGGGGATAATTACCGAATCGAGGTAATCTAATTGACGTGTGTGTTGAATTGGGAACCATGAATGAAGTTCAAAAAATTGCCAACCTTTCACAGACTTCGATTCTGAAGCGATTGTCGACTATTTACGGAAAACAGGCGTACTGGAGTTTCCCGGTGGCGTGCCAACCTCTCTAATAGCCACTGGTTAGTGATGAATATTTTTTCAAAGGATATGGCCGTCTTCGACTTTCGCTTCCATTATACCTTGTATAGTCCTATTTAAGGTCAACAATGGGATTTTCCTAACGCATTTGCACCTACAGAGTGGATCTTAATCGAAGGCCTTAGGTTATGTGGCCAAGAAGAAATTGCCTTGCAAATAGCCGAGAAATGGATCAGGAAGAACTTCAATATGTGGCGTGCTAGCGGAGGAACAATGTATGAAAAGGTAGGCGAGTGAAACTGAATTTGATTCGGTGTTTATATGAACGCTAGGCACTCTTACCTGCACATTTGCGGTTTCAACCTTTGTAATCAGGGCATTTGAGTTCTCCTTACTGTTTTTTCAACAAGTTTTTACAATAATACATCTAATTTAGTTGATCTCCTGACTCTTTTTGAATTATTCACTTAATTCTTATTTCACGAAACAATCGCTTCTCGATACTTATCATTCATTTCATCTCCTCGCCAGCACAGCTCTTGGCGAATCACCGTTCAGTCATTACACGAAACCGCTTTCAGTCTCGGAAGCCTCTTCTGTTTCTTAAATCGTCGGGCTCTTTCCTGCACAAACTTGATTTCTTGAATAAAGGGATGGGGTTGCTCGGCTATGATTAGTCTCATTTTTAGTTTTCGCAGTCTATTCAGAATCGCTTTGACGTTGAATAGGTGTGTAGCCTATTCAGTGACTTGAAGGGTCGACGAACTATGGATAAATTCTGTTCTCCCAGATGGGTATGCTATCATTTGACCGAGCTTGGGGAGAAGAAAGGATTGATGGCTCGTTTGAATTCAGTTTCTTTTTGCTGTAATACGCCGTTGAAGGTGAACTTGAAATTGCTCAACTATTGGATCTATTCATAAAACAATTGCTAAAATCTCCTCAACAAGCCCCAAAATATCCAAAAACGGAATGTCACTCCTTTTTTCATCTAGAGAGCACTTATTCATCTTTTCTTGTGCTTTGGCAATCTCTTAGTAGCAGAAGCAAGCTTCACCCAAGTTGTTTTTCTGGACCACATTATTTAACAGTAACCGCCTTGTTTTATTGAAGAGTAACCGCTTTATGTTTACCAAGCTCTCTCTCAATCGGCCCAATACATTCAGAGTCATCGCTGACAGGGTATTCTTGATAGTCTTGGCAGCAACAATGACCCTAATATCATTTAGTTTTAGTGGATACTACTAAAGTCATTGGCTACGTGGGGTGATAGACTGTTTGGCAATCATAGGAAATCCCTCTCAGCTTTGATTAATTCACTTTTTCGCTATGCTCGGCCACAACTTAGCATTTCAGCAGCAATCGTTGCTATATTCAGTGTTTGTGATGATTTATTGTGGTTAATTTGATTCCAGAACCGTAAGTACTTTAGCAGCACCACATGGCGTTGCTCCATCACATCACTGTAAACGATACGCTGCGAAAAAAACTTTTAATGCACTGTTATGAGCTTTTGCTACATCTATGATTCCAGTACAACGTGGTCTCAGCTTGCTACAAAATAGTCGGTGGTGGTGGCGAGTACGAAATGCAGGAGGGGTTCGGCTGGAGTAATGCAGTGATGCTTGATCTACTCAAAACATATGGCCATGAATTGCAATGGACACCGGCGGATGAATGCAGGCACAAGTGTATATGTCTTTGGCAATAGCCCTGTGATAATCCATTCAAAATGATTTCATATTCTTTACTTTTTAAGTTCTCGCTGGCATTCTTTCCTCTTAGATATCTAGTCGCTAGCGTTACCACAAATCAACCCAAACGGTCGCCTGTACGTTGAGACTCGAAAGCTTTTCAGTTAGAGCACTGCCTCTGTCGGTGTCGGCTGGTGGGTGCTTATATCGCAAACAGAACATCTGCCCTTTTGACTGGTGCTTGGAAACAAGCGACTTTTAGTGTTATATCAACAATATTAGCCTACAGGTTTCTTCAGCGATATTAGAGCTGTTTGTGTGTGTTTATGAGTGTGTATGTATGTTTGTGTGTATGTGTTTGCTGCTAATGCAATGGCGAATGTTATGACGAGCCCCACTAACAATAAAATCTATTGCCTCGTCAAAGGCGTAGGTGGCCGAACTATTCAAGGAATACTTATTGGCATTTAAAAAAAATCGAGAGTATCGCGAATGCGAAGCAGATAGAAAATTGGACCAGCTCCCACATAAGGTGTTGCCCATTTTGTTTATACTTTATTCCCAAAACTACACAAAGCAGCATAAGGCTGGTCTAACAGGTCGTCTATCGGTGTGAAACATAGGTCTCAAAGGGAGCTATGTAGAAGGATAAGAACCCTTGCTAAAGGGGGGTTATATTTTTCACACCAGCTGCCCGAGAATAAACATCGCCTGTGCCCTCACAGTTTTAGGCTCATCGAATTCAATTTATCCTTTTGTTCAGCATAAGTCCCAATCGTTGCTCAAATTCTCAGGCAGCAGAGGGCTAGGGCTAGTTGTTATATTTAAGTAGTTCACAGTTTTCAATTCTTCAGTTCGTGTTAGAAGTAATGATTGGTTAGCGCTTATAGTTTACGCCAGACGTTACCGTTTCCCAAAATGAACGGTTTAGTGAAAGGTCGGAAATTGATGACGTAACCGAATTTGATCTATAATAGGCTATCCCTCCATATTACCAGTTACTTGGCAACAGTAAGATAAAACAGTGGTAGGATCAGAAGCAATTTCGGGTCTTTGTAATTGCTAACAAGCGCACTGTCTTTTAGCCTTAGACGGCAAGGAAATAACGCCATTCTCTTAGCTCCTATTGTGCTCTCACCTCATAATACTACCTTTAGCGGCTGCTAACTGCTACACTCACATTACTAACGTGATACAAAGGACGAGCTTACCTCAAGGCCCTTTTCGCAAAACAATTCACCCTATCTAACAATTTTCTGTTAAACAGCACAAAAGGTGTCGTAAATACATCTGTGCACCCTCTTTCAAGGTAGATAGGGAATTTAGGTCAAACGGTTCCTCATACCTCATCCGAATTATGTCATTTTTCTTTTTCAAAGCTAGTCAAGCATGAGTTCGATAGAATTCCGTTTAAATTGTAAATAGACTTTCATATCTCAGTGCGCTATAATGTAATGTAATGTATAATGTTACATGCAAGGAGGGCATTGTATTAGACTTCAACATTTGATGTCTCTCAGGAATAATGTATTTCATGAATTCATTGTATTACTTTTAGCTAACAGAATAAATGTATAAAGTGTTTCCTCTAAGAGTGCTTTAATGACTCAGGTGGTTCCGTGACATATGGTACTCCTATTTTTAAAATTTCAAGGTTGGGTTTGGTGAGCGAGAAATCAGTGAGTAGGGGGTGTACGTGCTTGTCGGATAGCACCTTTGAAGTGCGGCCACCGTATCTCGTCGCCCCATGAATTCATCCCACTGCGTGCCAACTGGGGAAATCAGCTACTCGATCGCTAACGGCGGTAATTGCCTCTTCATTTGCTTAAGGTTTCACTGCTGTTTATTCTCCATTTTAATGACACTCTTTCGCCCATTAGCTGGCGATTTATACGGTAACCCTTGGTAGAAGCATTGGTTTTACAGATTGTAATTAATTACAAACAATAAATATAAACCCAACAGGAGAAGTGCTAGTCCACAGTGGCCTTTCCAAGTGATGTGCACATCGTCATTTGCGTTTCCTAACGCAAATTTCAATTCTGCAAAACCATTCTGAGCAAAATTTCACGGATGCGCTTCCTCTCTGTTATGCAGGATTCCCACAAGGGATCTTGCATTATAAAGAGTGTTTTCGTTTAGATATGCTAGGAATCTTCTAAGCTCCGTTCGACAAACAATCCAGCCACAAAAACTGTGTGATAAGGTGGGAGCATCGAAACAAGACCGTGTTGGAAAACCCTGGGTCTCCATCTCCCACATCTTTTCAGTGCTTAGGATGAAGCAGCATGAATGTTGTGACGAAACGGTCCCATTCGGTACTTCAATTACTCCTTTTATGTACAGTTGAGCAGTTAGAATTCATTAATTGCACTGGTCAAACCGCCCTTTTCCCTTTCTACCTGTTACAAAGTTGAAATGTTCATCTAGCCCCCAGGGGTGAGCTATTCATAAACAGAGCAATGCAACTAGTATTCGATACGTGACGAAGCTTACGTTCGTGATCATGTTGCTTCGATCTGTAGCTTTTGGTCTTAACAACAATCTTGTTTTACGTATTAGCGTAGCAACGCAGCTCAACTGCTTTTCCGTAGTCAACCGAAGCCTTCAATAATACTTGCTATTGTTGTGGACTGCTGATAACACCACTATCAGAAGTCGTTATCTATGGGTCATGAGCCTTGATGTGTCGTTGTGCAATGATAATTAATAGAAAGGAATGAACCAATTCTGTTCCCCTTGCATGGTAATGACTCTGATCTTCCTTCTCCCAGCACACAGAAGGCATCGTCAGCGAAATTATATAGCAGGGTAGTGCTCTCGCAATGAGTGGGAAGGTACTCTTCACATGGGCGTTCGGTATTCCTAGGCATCTCCTGCTGACAGTTATCTCAATGAGTCTTCAGTAATGAGCCTGCTACAGCCCAACTGGCCAGTATAGTTGATGTTGACTTAAATGTGTATGAAGCCGCTTTTGGAATAGTTACCCATCCTAATATATGTGTATCGCCCGTCTCCCAGGCCCAAGGTAGGTGGTTGTGTTGTTGGGGCGCGCTTTTCGCTATGCTGACGAGGCTTAGCCCACAAAGGGCGTGGCATGACGTCAGCGTTGCACTGCTGACGAGTCATTCCACTATTAAAGCCCCCCACTGGCGGATGTGCTCACTTTAGTCGGCTAAGGCATACCCTAACCGAGAACTTCTTTTACTTTAAATTGTTTTTGTATTAAACCATTCGTTTCAAGCTTGATTTGTAGTTTTGTGGAAGTTCATTTGGGTTCAACTGTTTAACATGCCCGTGATTCATTACATTTGATCACTTCCATTGATTGCTCGAATAGTTACGGTCTGTATCTTTTCACACTAAGCTTCGTCTTTTACTTTCTCCAATTTCAGTGTGATTTATATTAATTTACGAAATGAAGACATTACCCCTTTTGGGTGTTATTGTTCTACTCTCTATCGGATCATTCGCAGATGAAAGTAAAGATGAGAAAAAGGTAGGGTAGAGCTGCTTTTCTTCATTTAGCTCATTATGTCGCGTATTCCTTTCAGGATCCGAAATACGGAACGATCATTGGAATTGATCTTGGCACCACGTATTCCTGTGTCGGTGTGTACAAAAATGGACGCGTAGAAATTATTGCTAATGATCAAGGTATGTGAGCAAATGGTACCCCAGGGAAGTTCTGGGCAGAAAAGTAGAGAAAAACGTTTCGAATATCACGTATTGTAGGAAACCGGATAACTCCTTCCTATGTCGCATTTGCTGGAGATAGTGGAGAACGTATGATCGGTGATGCTGCTAAGAATCAACTTACAATCAATCCAGAGAATACCGTTTTTGATGCCAAACGACTCATAGGCCGTGATTATGCAGATAAAACCGTTCAAGCCGACATCAAACTTTGGCCATTCAAGGTTCACCTTTATATTATTTTTTATCTATATATTTGTCGGAGAAATGCTTGTGCGAATAATTTCGAAACGTTTTTTATGTATTGAATTCTGTTTCGGCAGTAAATTCACACGAATAATCACACGTTTAGATCGTGGACAANGATCGGTGATGCTGCTAAGAATCAACTTACAATCAATCCAGAGAATACCGTTTTTGATGCCAAACGACTCATAGGCCGTGATTATGCGGATAAAACGGTTCAAGCCGATATCAAACTTTGGCCATTCAAGGTTCTTTTTCATATCATATTGATGTTTTATATTGGCGAAATAATGCTTGTGCGAATAGTTTCTAAAAGTTTTTTTATGTATTGAATTCTGTTTTGGTAGTGAATTCACACGAATAATCACACGTTTAGATCGTGGACAAGAACAACAAGCCTCACGTTTCCCTAAAAGTTGGTAAAGAAAACAAGCAGTTCACACCGGAAGAGATCTCTGCTATGGTACTCGGAAAAATGAAAGAGATTGCTGAGTCGTATCTTGGAAAGGAAGTGAAACACGCCGTCGTGACGGTACCAGCTTATTTCAATGATGCTCAACGGCAGGCCACCAAAGATGCGGGAACGATTGCTGGATTAAACGTTGTTCGTATCATCAATGAACCAACTGCTGCTGCTATCGCATATGGGCTTGATAAGAAAGAAGGTAAGCCGTCTGAACCTTGAGTCTTGTGTAACTCGAAGTTAGGGAGGTTTCGCATAATAACCGCGCGTTTCGCAAACAATTGACTGTAGATTATCTTTAATGCATTCCGTACTTCGATCCAATGTAGGGCTAACAATTGTCTGGACAAGATGTCCTTTGCTAATTAAACTTTCTCGTGATAATCATATGGGTCTGATGTACCTTTCAAACGTATGATTTGATGGGTCGTTTAGCTTTAATAGGATTTTTCAATGTGAGATATGACCTAGCAGTTGGCACTCTCTAATTCGAGTACCTTTCGATTACTTTGTTTCAGGCGAGCGAAACATCCTTGTGTTCGACTTGGGAGGCGGTACCTTCGACGTTTCGATGCTAACTATTGACAATGGTGTATTTGAAGTGCTTGCTACTAATGGAGACACTCATCTTGGAGGAGAAGATTTCGATCAGCGTGTCATGGAGTACTTCATCAAATTGTACAAGAAGAAAACCGGAAAAGATCTGCGAAAGGATAATCGCGCAGTGCAGAAATTACGACGTGAAGTAGAGAAAGCAAAGAGGGCTCTCTCCAGTCAACATCAGACAAAGGTCGAGGTGGAATCGATAATGGATGGCGAAGATTTCTCTGAGACCTTGACTCGTGCTAAGTTCGAGGAACTGAACATGGATCTGTTCCGTGCGACGCTGAAGCCCGTACAGAAGGTCTTGGAGGACTCTGATCTGAAAAAGGATCAGGTCCATGAGATCGTGCTTGTTGGTGGTTCAACCCGTATACCAAAAGTGCAACAACTAATCAAAGAGTTCTTCAATGGCAAAGAGCCATCTCGTGGTATCAATCCCGATGAAGCTGTTGCTTACGGAGCTGCAGTTCAAGCTGGAGTGATCAGTGGTGAAGAGAACACTGGCGACATCGTTCTTCTCGATGTGAACCCCTTGACCCTTGGAATCGAAACAGTAGGAGGAGTAATGACTAAGCTGATCACTCGCAACACCGTCATCCCTACGAAGAAATCGCAAATCTTCTCCACTGCAGCGGACAACCAACCGACCGTTACAATTCAGGTTTGTTTGCCTGTTGCTTATCTTTCCCTTTTGACTTAAAACAAAGCAGCAAAAGGAGTAGGACGCCAAGATTTGCTCACCAACTACTTCCCACCCATATTTCAGGTGTTTGAAGGAGAACGTCCCATGACAAAAGACAATCACGAACTTGGCAAATTTGATCTCACAAATATACCACCAGCACCTCGCGGAGTTCCGCAGATCGAGGTAACGTCCATTTGTATTTTAATGGTATTGTTTAACTACTAGCTCGAGTCAGCTTATCGATTGCGTTCCCTTCTAATCTCATTCTATCGTCTTTTCCTTTTGGTCACCGTTTTCTTCCTAGCGCGCTTGGCTTTCGTATAAGTTGCAAGCCGGCTGTTTGCGTTGCTATTCAATATCCCCACTCAATGGAAAATAAGTTTCTTAGTAGTACTGAGCTTCCTATCAATCCACCATGGATGGTTACGTTTCAATTGCTTATTGAATGAACATGGAGCTCATTACTACAGTACAACAGAGTTAGAAAAACTTGTACCTCGAAAAGAAGAAATAGGTTCCGACAACTCGAGTCATAAAGCCCTGTAGGCGCTTTCTTTCGCGTGAGGTATCGAATCATACACGAAAGATTTGCATCAGATTGTACAAGATTCTTTACCGGGTGCCATAGATCACCCAGAGCGCGGGAAGTGCACAGGTCTGTATAGCGACTGACCCGCCCCAGCGAATTTTTCTCATAAGGAACCGTACATCCTTTGTCCTGTAAGTGAGTCCTCATATAAAGTGGGTATCTAGGGACGTTGTAGGAGATTAATTTGTATAAAGAAAAATATATGTTCACTTTATGGTTCTGCATTCAATTTAGCCAATTTATCCAATTTAATATACGACTGTGATTGGATCACAGCTTCTTTCATAATCCTTCTCGTTCTCTCAATATTTATTTTCTTTCCAACATTCCCTTCCAGATGAAACCACATTACCACAGAATTCCTCCTTAGCCTTGTAAAAGTAAAACTCCTTATCCTTCCTTCCTAACTCCAGTGCTCTCTTCTGAATGCCATTTTTTATGTTCTATTTTTTCTGTTTTCTTATCTCCTTAGCTCGGGTCTTGATCTTTTTTAATGTTCAGGTCACATTCGAGATCGATGTCAATGGAATTCTCCACGTAACGGCAGAGGATAAGGGTACTGGAAACAAGAACAAAATTACAATTACCAACGACCAGAATCGTCTTAGCCCTGAAGACATTGAACGCATGATCAACGAGGCTGAGAAGTTCGCTGAAGACGATAAGAAAGTGAAGGAGCAAGTCGAGGCACGGAATGAGTTGGAGTCCTACGCCTATTCCCTGAAGAACCAAATAGGAGACAAGGAAAAGCTAGGCGGAAAATTAGACGATGCTGACAAGAAAACACTGGAGGAAGCCGTTGACGAAACTATCAAATGGCTCGAAAGTAATCGTGATGCAACAACTGATGAACTCAAGGAACAGAAAAAGGTAAGCTCCATTGGTAGCAATCGAAAATTTGATGTCTTTGCGTTACTTTTAAGAGACAAAGGAACCAACTGTCTTGATTTACTTCCACCGATTATCCCACATCCTGGTAATGGAAAATTATGACTTTCAGGAATTGGAAAGTAAAGTTGCGCCAATAACCAGCAAGCTGTACAAGGATGCTGGAGGTGCTGGCGCGGGAGCTGGAGGCGATGAATCAAAGGATGAGCTTTGAACAATGGATACAAGGAATCCATGTGCAATACGTCAGTCCTAATAGCTGTCTTTACACTATCCACTTCGGTCTTGTTCCACGGGTGTGGCTACATACGCCTTACGTATTTGCGTATGTAATTGAATGAATTGAATTTGTTGTTGTTTTTTTTTTGTACGTACAACTTGTTGTTTCCAAGTGTTTTTCATGTCTGATAAATAATTTTCTCCTTTATGTCAATTAACTATTAGAAATTGATTGCACAGTTGTTTTAATAAAAAGTGTACTACTAGACGGATTTTCTGCGCCTATCTTAGATTGGATCTCCATACTTGTCCTCCTTCCGCTATCCAAAATATGCAAATGAGTCCAACAGGTGAAGCGAAGGGAGTTGTGAAGTAGGGTCAGTCGAATTCGACTCCATCTGCCACATGCCTTACTAAATAGTAATGTATGTAACAAAGGTGAGAAGAAACTTATCATACAATGCAGTTTATAAGCACTTCTCAGTAAAAATTGTTTTCTGCCTACTTTTTCAATTAATTTAAGTGAACTTATTACAATCTGCCCTTATACTCTTGGCAAAGCTTTTTGTTCGGATAGCACCCCGATAGATACTTCTCTGTTTCATTCATCAACCATAGGTGATAAAATTGAAAGTCAAATATCGATCGACGAATAGCCAGCCGGACCTTTCTTCACCTCAGATAAAATAACTGTAGTGGTCATTAAAAAGTTGATCAGCTGTTGGGTGGCTGACTCGACTCTAACCCAGTCTCTCATCATAAACTTTCAAAAAGACTATGGTCAATGTTCAGGATATCCGAAATAGCTATAATGTGTACTATCCCTATATTTCCATTACTGTGAGACGGCCAGCAGTGACCTCACCGCAATTTTGACTGACTCACTACAGCCATTTATCCAGATGATCAATAGTGTGGCTACTTAGCTGTCGATCAATGGGTAACCTGCACTATTATCACCCATAGGTATGGTTGAACAGAAGCAGGAGCATTCTCCATAGTAAAAGCTGAATAATTAGTTTTTATATGAGACAAAATTAAATTGGAATTAGTGGAAACAGTTTGAACGAAAGAATAGAGCTTCTACTGACAATTACTACAATAGCTTCGAAAGGCCCCTCCTCACCTTCGTTACAGTCTACTCAATCAGTGTTCCCGCCGAAGAGGTCGACCTAGGCAGTTCCTACTACACTAATGCACTCCACCCATTCAAAATAGTGGGGTCATTGATACGTGGTCGTAATCTAACTTTTTAGTTGTGTAAAGCCACTACTCCAATGTTTCGTCGTCGACTTATTCCTTCTATGCTGACTACTACATGCTGTTCAAAATCATTCTTGATGAAGACACAGGTCAACGTCCTTGTCAAAATTGACTGTTGCTGTGCAAAGTTCATTTGTTAGGTGAGTGTGACAAAACTTTTGGAAGAAATATCTTATAATGGCTTCCGTTATCCTAGTATTAATTTTGTCATCTGAATGTCAGTGTCAATCTCGGTTGCTCTCGAGCACTCTTTAGAAGTTTTAAAGGCGGCATTTGGTTGTGATGCATGCTCCAAGGTTCCAAATTGCCATTCATAAATTTGATCACTTTTGATTACTTGGCAAATTCAGGACCTTCAGTGAGGAGTCTTGTATCTATGACTTGAAAACTTTGCTACATTCATGTTCCGACGTACAGCGATAGGAGTTTCACCTTTCACCTTTTCTTTACGGAACTCACTTTCTCATGAATTCGACAAATAATTGACCCATCAACAGTGCGATACTATGGGTACCCTAAGGGCTACACCATTAGGTTTCATTGCTTCTCAAAATTCGTGCTGAAACTCTCGTCACTGCAAAAATCAAAGCTGCTTGAGACATGACTATAATTCCTTTTTATGGCCGTTTATCGTTCCTGAAACTGCTAAAGCACTTCCATAACTTTATTCAATTGCTGTGCAGAACAGTAGAACCTTTAATCGATCCTAAACTTTTTTGTTTTTTCGAGAATATCGCTTTACTCCAGAAGCTTCACTCCTTACTCTTGTTAGGCTCTTCGTCTAATCAGCTTTAATTGATTGATTATTTGATTGGCGATGTTCCGACACCGCTACTACGTCTTTTGAAAACACTCCGTTACCAGTTGTAGTTACACCATAACATCCGTCACCTTCCCCTGTGCCCACATTATATAAGACGTTTGCCGTACCCTCACTTCTAGTCTTATTTCATATGACTTCCATGTCCAGTCTTTTTGAAGCCATAGCATTGCACAGCCTGCACAGTTCCACTGTAAGTTCGACTTCAAATAAGAAAAAAAATTAGGAACCACTTTTACTTCTACCCGTTCCCTTGAAATATCATATTTTTACCGAGCAATATTCCTTCCCTTCAAATGGACATCTCTTTAAAAACTCCCGATGGGCACATAAGGAGGTTTTCTCAGATTGGAAAGAAGTACAGTGAAATATAGAAAACGTCAGAGGACCAAAAAAACTAACATTTGCGACCTAACGAAAAGGCTCGAGCAAGGAGATGGGGTGGGGTGTAAAATGGGCTTTTGGCTGTTTGCGTCACATTATGGGCCGAAGTCAGTACCCACCCGGTTATGTATCACAAGTTCTTTTCGGACTGCAGAGTCTATTTTGTCTGGGTCGTTTCACTGCCTTTTCTGAACAGTAATGAAAGTTCAGCACGTTACTCCGCTCTTACAGTGAGTCCACGATGAAATAAAATACAGTGGACGGAGATTTTCAAGCTTTTTCCAAGGAAAAGCCTCACGTAAATACAGAATCGCTCAGCTGGTAATATATATGACGCATAGAGAGGGACCTCAGGCAAAGACCCTGCGTGGGTGGGATGGCTAGGATATTGCGTTGCATCACGAGAACTCGTTTGGTCATAACCCATAGTTGGATTACGTGAAGGGCCAATTGCCCGCATCGAATTTTCGTTTGTGTCCTTTCTTACGGAACAAAATTCTCAGCATGAGGCCCTTTCCTGTGACTTTCATACGTGTTTTGCACATTTTTTTGCTGTTTACTTCAACCTTCCCCTCTCCGCCCTCTTCTTCAACAATTGTTCAAGGAGGAAATGTTGTGTGGCAGGGCAACCCAGCGGGTTCAGTCGCATTTGATTGAGGCCGATGAGGCCTTCTTTGAGGTAATTTCGCGTAAACCGGAATGCTATTTTTTCACCGAGGCTCTACTAAAGCGGCGATTTGATTAGGTGCAAGAGCGCTCAGGAAATGGGAGATCTTTGATATCTCCAAAACTTCGAAGCATCCATTGTCTTCGACTTCATTTGTTAGTGATCGCAGCAACGTTGGCTTTTGCGTCATCGGATTTGATGAATCAACACAATAGATTCTGAAACTACTGCAACTGGGTTGATCATTAAGTTCGTAAGGTTATTTTAGACGTATTTGTGATCTTTTTTTCAAAACATGGTATTCTTAAGAGCTCCTTGAGCCTCTTACAATTGTTTTCCCCATGAAAAGATGAGGTGAAAATGTAGTTAGGTGCCGTCGCCCCCTTTTTCAACGTTGAGGGCTAGAGTGCATAGAAAGAGGGGTAGATGACTTTTCTGTGCTTCAAGACGGTTCATAGCTAGGGATAGTCTATACCTAAACGTAAAAGGGAAGTGGGGGGGGGGGGGGGGGGGGGGAGCACAGGGTGAGATGAAATCCCCGTGTGGGTGGGATGGCGTAAGAACTGAGCATCAGTTGACTACCCACCTCGGTGCTCCTTCTCCCTAACATTCATAGCCCCCTAAGGCTGAGTAAATAAAAACTCTTTTCTCGATCTAGAAATGTTTCTGAACACCATTGTGTGTTCAACTAACCCTCCACTATGCTCTAACCCTCATTGTTATAAAAAAGAGGTATAAAAGATTGTCACCCCCCACTACGTTTCCAATAAATATCAAAAATTAAAGTAACAGATGTCGAAAGTCCTTGAATGATGTATGAAAATGAAATTCCACGCAAAAAACAATTTTTTTCAATGTGAGAAATCGTGAATAATTGAATCATACGGAGAATAATTCCTCAGAATAGTACACACCCTATGACAAATACTTGACAAATAATACAAAGTCAAAATAAAAAATTCTATTGGTCAACCTGATGTTTGCGTATAATGAGTTCGGGATTTCACGATTGAATTGCGTAAATATCCGTGCCGCTAAAAAGTGCACACACTCAATCTACTGGTGACTGCACTGAATATGATCCTTTCTCACCATTCCGTAGATGGTTTGGCATTTAAAGTACAGATTGGCATACGGATTCAGTGGCAGTTATTCCTTAGAACCTCTTCAGGAGCACCCGGCATGCGCGAAAGAGTATCGAATTAGACTTTTTTTGTCTCTAGCTTACACTCTCTCCATCTATTCCATTACCTCTATGAGCAGTTCTGTAAACTCGCCATTGTCGGCCTAGAATAGTTTGAGGAGAGGACTTTGCATGATACAAGATGTGACTGTCTTACTTCAAGCCAAAGTGATCCAGTAAATCATTCACGAATTCTTGATGGCATGGCACGCATGACGGAGCTGGAATTTTTATTGTCAGGGCGTCCTCGTGAAAGTGTCACATTCAGAATTCACATGAGGTGCCGATGCTGAGCGTAAATATAGAAGAAAAACCATGCGAGGGCAACGGGATGTCCGAATTTACGCAGCTAAGTGTTCGAGATGTCATGAAGCTGACATTTCTCCCACTTCCGACTCGCTCTGACTAATTCGGTGCCACGCTAGATACACCCATCCGTATCGATCTGGCGAAGGCGAGAACGAACGAAGCGACCATGAAGGGAGCGAAAGGGGGGAGGGAGGGGAAAGCGAGATGTAGCCATTGTCGCGCGCGAGCGATATCCGACGCCGCAGGCGGTGCGTTGGCGCAGGGCCGAGTGAGCGGGCAGAACCATGAGAAGTAGAGACTGGCACACCGAGAGCAGTAGGATGAGGAGACGACGGCAGTTGCAGGCTAAGCAGGAGCTGGAGCACCTCCCTCCCACCGACGTGATCCACGGGCGGTAACTGACTTGCGGCCATCACCATACGTGTCTTATCAACTCGAGGAAGCAGCCTATCCACATTACTCCTAACCGCTTCACCTTCTCGTAACACCCACTTTTCATCCATCATGGGACACTGCACGAGTAAGGATCAGAAGGAGGGTAAACGTCTGAACAGACGCATTGACGAGCAAATCAAGAAGGACCAATCCATGTCGCTGAGAATCATCAAGCTTTTATTACTAGGTAGGCTGCACTTTTCTTTTTCAATCATTTTTGAATGTACTCATGATTTTCCATTCAATTATCTCCTTTTCATCTGTTTCGCTTTCCAGTAATTCTAGTTAGCTTATTGATGGAGGCGGCACATTTTCAAAATTCAAGATTACGACCGCATTAAAAGCGAAAACGGCCATGTAAATTTTGAGGCGAATTCTCTCATTCTAAGAATATGCAGATTTGTCGCTTGAACTTGCTTTAGACATCATTCATGTCTCATTTAAGAGTTGTCAAGGCCGCCACACCCAAATTTATGTCTCCACTATGACATCTGGTGAATCTTGGGTTTGAGTCACCTTCAGTATGAGCGTTCTCCCTGAAACCGATAGCTGTTCTGTGAACGAGAATCACATTGGAAAAACAAAAATCTGCCTCTACTTAGCTCTGTAGGAAGCTTTCGGGAATGATACTCTTTCTATTTGAACCAGGCAATACAAGTTTTAAAACTCTTCTCATGCGCTGTTTTCTTCAAACACGTAGAACCAATTTTAGACTCTCTGCAGGGAAAGCAGTGTAGGAACACAATGATTCATTTGGAATATTAATACTAACCTTTTACTTCAAAACATCAGTATCACAGATGTCATCGTTCGGGTTCAACAAACCACATGCCTCTTTCAAAGCCAAGCCAAGACGAAAAAGCGAGCAAGCACTCTTTATTTTATCTCCTGCTCCATGATTGTTTAGCAGTCATAACATCTGCACTCATCTTCATCTTCAATCAATGAGGTATAAGAAACTGTTTGCGATGATGGAGAACTGACCATCACCTACGAGTAATGTGATGCAAATGCTTCTCATGATGAATCAGCAAGGTTCTGCAGACCGGTGAAGTTGCTGCCATTTGGGTGAAGGCCATACATTTGCTGTCAGGCGAACGGATAAAATAAAACCACTCCCTTTTGTTGGAGTAGAAGCAGTTAGCGCATTCCAATTGAGAAACCTGTTTGCTTCACTTTTCGATATGTTATAGCGCCATTCTGCGAAGCGATTTGCGAAATTACAGGTGGTATTTGGCCCACCAAGATTTGTCGTTGGGGTGCTATTGGCAGCGGAAAGTTGGCTTGCTCAACTCAACTTCTAAGCGACTATTTATATAGTTATGCTTAATAAATCTTTTCAACTGAACTACATGCAGAGTCATGCGATTTGCGCGAGGGTGGGAATCAATGGGATCTTATCGAGTTTATGGGTTCGTTATTTCGTGCCGAGGAAGTTGAGATTCGAAGTTAAACTCCGAGTGGCTTTGAGTCACGTTTAACGCTTCACCCATCCACCTTATCATCAGAAGGCTCATGATATATGGTGCATGGAGAGCTCAGTCAGCAAGTTTTTTAGAGCATTTCTTACGCAATTCATTATTTTGTGAAAATTGTTATAAAAGAAATCGATGTATTTGGCCATTCATTCGAGATCCGCGTTTCACGAGGTAAGCAAACCGGACACCGTTGCCCGCTTGCTGAATGTACAGTTTTCAATCCTGTTGTATTGAGTTTTTGTATGAAATAGGTTAGTAGTTCAGGTTTCGAGGTTTTATATTCATTACCAGGTACATATAGTACCTAGTCACCTGTACTGTACCTGTACTTTTCCCGAGCACCTATGGGGAACAGATAAGGGTATTTGCTAGTGAAGTTCTTGCTAATGAGGTAATGGGACTGGGTACTACATGTACCTGGTAATGAATGGAAGAACTCGAAACCTGAACTACTGACCTATTTCATACAAAAACTCAATACAATAGGATTGAAAACTGCCGACGACGTACACTCAGCAAGCGGACAAGGGTGGCTGGTTTGCTTACCTCGCATTTCACAGCAACTCGTGAAAATGCATTTTGACGTAATCCACGTCTAATTGCCCTGAGAACAGTTAAAACGGTGTTTTTAGCGTGGAATTTACCACGAGAAGTGCCCCAGCCCTTCTCGCGTCCCTTCAAGCGGAATCACTTTATTTGTGTTGATTAGCGTGCTCTTCCTTTGTGACAGAGAATACGGCCGGGAAGTCAAAGATGTTTTTGGTCCCCTTTTTTCGGGTCATTCGTCGTGAGACCACTTTCCAGTGCCTTTCCTTTTAATTTGATTTTATCTCTTCAGTGTTCGTTCCGCCTTTTGGAGATACTCGTTAACCTCTTTATATTAGTAGAGTAACGCACTTACTTAGGCAAGGATAGGATATAGAAATGTATTTTGACTACTTCTTTGTGATGAAACGATGCCTTTAGGTAACTAATATCAATTGATCATTGGAATTATGTTTTTGCTAAGGGAGGAAGGTCCGACAAAAAAAAGAAGCAAATACTTTTGAACTACAGCTATTTATTTTTAGCCAGGGAACAGCGCAGGGCATTCATCATTCACAATATTCCGGCGAATTCTTTTCAAAAGCATGCCAGTTCTTGTCGAGCCTCGTAAGTTAAGAACTGTAATCCAAGTACTAGAATTTTCTAGCTGTGAATGACTCTCGGTGTAACACACGCTGAAGACTTGGTTGGAAAAGATCTGGTATTTTTATTTTCTCTACCATCCTTTTCTACAGTGATAACCGCGTGCAGTTTGTAGAAGGTTCTTTGACTCAAATTATTGTTGTTCGCGTGGAAATTTCAATACAATAATACGAGGGCCAGTGTTTCAGCGGTCTGGCAGGTTTCGAGAGTTCTCGATAATCTTCCACACTCAGCCCTTGATTACTTTATACCCTAGTGATTCTTTTTTCGACTTTGATAGTAAACTTGGCAGGTCTTGTTTCGATTGTCTGCTTGTAGACCCTCTAACGACAGCTACCACGAGTGCTAGGGCGAAGCTGAGTGATTTCATGCATTTCTCGAAATCCACACTTGTTATGTCAGCGTGCATTGACACGATGCTATTGTGATGGCAAGAAAGACCAGACTGTATTCCTAACATCGGAAGGTTTTTCTGTTGAATTTCTTCTCCTATGCAAGCTTACTATTCATACATCTTTAACGTATTCACTTACACTATTTCTTGTTCTCGACTTCTTGTAATTGGGATCAAGACGAACTCTGTCAAACTGTTGAGCTAGAGTGTTTCATTCCTCCTCTTTCATCTTCATATAAATGAAGAAAAGAATAACTTCTTCTAAGAGCTCTGTGCGAGACTCAGTTCAAGTATAATTGGATGATACGGCCGGCAGTGCGCTTGATAACAGTTCCGCTGCTCTTACTCGTTTAATAGAGAGGTTTAATTGTAGCTCGACTAACCAAGAAATTTCAATTTTCACTTTACATAAATTGCACGGTTCAGTAATAAATGAACGATATGAGCTTTTCGCGTGAGATATCAGGCATCAAAATTGATTTCATCTTTTTCGAAATTCCTTGTTTTCTATTTTTGTTTCATGTTTCCAACAAAATTTGATTTCTTCAAATTCAGCTCGCTAACAACTCATTCAGATGAGATTTTCTTGGATTAGATATATTTCTTTTGAATCCCATGGATGAGTCTGTTTCAACTCATTTGACTTACTTTTTTGACTGCTGTTATTTCGCCGCCGCCGCGATGGGAAAGGTTCATAAGATTGGGAGTTATGGACAAAACTTCGGCCCCGGATGAGACTCGAACCCGTACTTGTGCTTTCAGGGCACCTTGCTCTTGTCCCTAGCTCTACCGCAACCCCCTTCGGCTCGACAATTACCCCTTGCTTTACCGAGACCCCGCTTACCCTCGCCTTCGCCAAGGCGAGGGCAAGCGGGTCTCGACAATGTAAGGGGTAAGAGCACGATGCCCGTATAGCACAAGTACGGGTTCTAGTCCCGTCCAAGGCCAAAGTGTTGTCCATAGCTCGCCAACCTTGCGAGAATGTTGACTTTGCTTGGATAAGCAGCTGAATTATATTAATATACAAGTCCAGTCTTGAATTGGGGTAATAGTTTCAATCCACCTCATAATTGTCTGGTATCTTTTTGAATGTGATGGAATTAAAATCGTTGGGTCACCCGGGGCTCTTCACTTTTACCTGTGTCTAAATTGAAGATGGGTGTTTCTCTGCACAGTAACGAAATACTTTTTGGTAAAGTAGTTTTTAAACGGGGAGTGCTCGGGAACGCGAAAATCCTACACTTGTACACAAAAAAGGGTAGCACGTCTTAAGCAGTGGAACTGGCATCCAATGTTTAGTGAGGCTCACTACTTGATTACGTTGTCTCGTTCTGCTGCATTAATCTTTGTGAGCGATGATTATCTTCAAAGGATTCTTCTCCTTCTTAGGGTCTTCTCGCGCAGCAACACTTTTAAACTCGAACGTCATGCTTGCTCAACCGATGCTTTGAATGGTAATTCCTAATTTGCCGGCAAATAGTAACGATAAGGTAGTCTTCCTCATGACCCACCTGCTTAAATTCTTCCATTCCCAATGTTCACAAAACTAGGTGCTTCGATAAGTTTCGTAGCCGGTGATAGCAAAATAAAGGGTAAGCTTGGTCACCCCATAGACGTTCTAGCGTTTGATTCCTCGGAATCCTAAAATGATTGCAAAGAAATAACAAAATTTTGTTATCATCTATTACATCCGCCCAAAATAGCCCTTAACACTGATTTGTCGCCCTACATCTTCGTCCTCGCTTCATAGCCCCCAACATGCTCAATGTCAAGGCTTCACTTACATGCAGAAGGTGTAAGGAACCCAGGGGCTTCTGCCTTGTAGGGCCTTTGATAAGCCTCCCTCGTTTTTTGTTATAACTTTCTTTCCACCATCTGCGATCTATTCCGCCTCTCCCAATCCTCTTTCCTTTTCATGTCAGCTTTTTCAGCTTTCCACCGTACACCCTACATCACCCTTCTTCCTTTGTATCCTTTCCGAATTAGAACGTTCCAGTTCCGGAACAGCTGAAGCTACGGGTTTCCTGTCATCCACATACATTAGTTCATGCATTGATCGATGCCTAATTCAAGTTATTCATTCGAGTTTTTTTACTAGAACCCACTTGAATGAGACCAAAATCCTGAATAACTTACGTAACCTCACAGGGACTTGTTTTCAGAATCGAAGATGACAATGAAAAAACCCGCATGATTTATTCAATTTTGTTTATTATTCATGCATGCCATTTCACGTGCGTGAACCAGTTCGGATAACAGTGACAGCTTATTTTGCAAGTAGAGCTATAAATCAAGCTAATCAAGAGCAAAAGCGTAGGTAAATAATCGTACCAAGAGGACTCTTCCGAACACAATGGCATATTTGTCAGGGGCTCGTTGGCTTTATGAAATTGCAGGTGAGGCACTTGGTCCATTTCGAGCCTTAACTTTTCTTCCATTCTGGACAGCTTATACAGGAAATAATGTATTGAATCCCTTATCTGGGTGGAAATTTGACAACTTTTCTTCCCACATAACTCACGTGCAAGTATTTTCTTTTGCAGGTGCTGGTGAAAGTGGAAAAAGTACAATACTGAAACAGATGCGGATATTACACAAGGTGGGCTCTTTGACCTATAGAGGTTTTCTCCTTCTTAATACTATGGATGTAAACAAATTTCTTTTTAGAACCATTGGGTAGGCCTCTTTCAGTTATGTTTCCCCTTTTCTTTTTGTACTTTCTTCTTTCCCTTCCTAATACTATGGATGTCATGCCCGTGGAGAGGTCATTGGGTTAAGAAACCCTCGTTCGAAAATTGCCCTTTATATTCGAGTGCTTAACTTTGGATACATTGCCTTATACCTTTGGCAGTCAATAATGGGGAGTCCCTTTACTTATCCATTTTTTTCTTGACTTGTGCAGATTTAAGGCCTGTAGTTGAGAAAGGGTAACCATTTTTATCCTTCACCCTTCGCACCTTTCCATTTTTCGGCGCCATGTGCTATATCCAAGATAAACACCCACCCCAACAAAATTCTGAAAGTAGTTTGAGCGCAGGTGATGAATTTCCCCTGTCCAGCTGAAGACGAGAGAGCAGCACCTCCGATTGTAGAGATATGTACTGAGAAGACCACAGAACCACTGATAAGGGATGTAAGGAAATTTGAAGCTCAAAGTAAACGAGCGACTCCGAGGAGCGCCATAGAAGAGGTGTTGTGGCGTAAGTAAGGGTTTCGCCGAGGCTAAAGTAACGGCAAAGATTCCGCAGATAGAAGGAGATGAAGATGGATGACGGGTTTTGATTTGATGAGCCCCATGTACCAAACTGTGTTCGATGGACTTTTGTCAACTTAGACTACACACATTTTCTCAGAAGAAACCCTTTCCAAACAATAGCTCACAAACGACAAAAAAATAACAGGTATAAACATTAAGATGGGAGTAGCTTAGTTTTTACTATATCATCTTCAGCGTGTGTCCACCTTATGAAGGGAGTCCTTCTTCCGGGTGTAGTGGATGAGAATATAGCCGCTTCTCCCGTTTGAGTGCCTGGGCTTGATGAAGGCCAACTAATTTCGAGCCCTCATGCAAAGTATAAAGAAAGCGCTGCTTGTCCGCGCCTCCACGGGGTGCCATTGGGAACTGCTCGTTCAGGCGGGCTGAGCTAAACGCGAACTCCCGAATGCAAATGTCAAGACTTCGTGACAGGTCTACCTAAAATAAGGACATTTCAAAACTTCTGAAAACAAGACTTTGGACGTAATTTCAGTTGAAGTTGAATTCAAAAAACTTTTTGATGTTTCTTTCAGAATCATCACTTCACTTAACTTCATTTCCCTATTCATGTTACCATTTCCATTTGTTTACTTTGTAACTTTCGTATATGAGAAATGTTATTTGTGTAGTGTGTTGTGAAGCCTCTAAGTTTCGGCAACTAAAGAGGATCGCCTCGCATCGAAGTAGTTGTAACTTTGCTAACAGTCGGCATGGTTTGTGCCGAGTTGAGGCTACAATTAGAGCGCGGGCGCCTCGAGAAGTGGCTCCAAAGAGCCTCATAACCGACACATATTTAATACATTGTTATTTTGAGTAGAAATTTATGTAATCATTGTTGACGTCTGACAATGAACTATCTAATTTTAGTGCTATTCAGTTTGTTTTTGCGGTACTGTGTTAATGTCAGGCACAAAACCTGCAGCTTTTTCCACTTTTGGAATTGATTAGAAGTCGATGGCTGTCATTTTAGGATGGCTTTTCACAGCAAGATTTGGAGATGATCCGCCCTGTCGTTTATTCCAATTGTATACATTCCATGTTGTCTATTCTTCGCGCTATGTTTCACCTCCAAATTGAATACGCCGACAACGAACGGGTGGTATGTTCGGTTTTATTTGGTTGCATGTTTATGATAGGTACAAGTACTGTGAAAGAACAGTGTTATATGAATTTTGTCCAAATTCGTCCGCGTGTGTGCAGGCCATAGATTTGTTCTCTGAGTTGGCGGCATTCGGTTTATTTGAAGTCATCCTGAACACGGAAATGTGGTGGCTACTTCTGGTCTCGTATTACTAGACTTCTGATTTGCCACTCTGAATTAATATTGGATTTGGGATGGGTTGAAAATTGAATTGGAAATCAATATTAACCATTGTCAATCGCCGTTTACCTCCCTTCGATCGTGGATTTGGATTTGTCTGCCTCACTTTTGTTAACTTGAAGGTTGTTTAAATTGTAAAAGAGACATGGAATTTTCAGCGCGACAGCCAGCTAGTGTTCGCGACAGTCCACGCCAACAAGGAGGAATTGACAGAGGAATTAGCTGCAGCTATGCAGCGACTTTGGGCTGATGCCGGTGTGCGAGAATGCTATCGTCGTAGTAATGAGTATCAAATAGATGACAGCGCCAAGTAGTAAGTTCCTCTTTGGATATCCCTTTGTTTTGTGAGGTGAATAGTTCTTCCGAATTACGATTCTCTATCAGACTATGACTGGTAGGGTAATTACTTACTTGTACTTCTTTATTTAGCTTTCTGGACAACTTACCTCGCCTTTCGTCCCTTAACTACGTTCCAAGCGAGCAAGATCTATTGAGGACACGAATCAAGACTACTGGTATAACGGAAGTGCTATTCGAACTTAAAGGACTCACGTTTAGGTCATTCGTTTGTCTTCATTCAAACTATTATTTTACTCTTCCTTATGGCTTTCATCCGTTTTCATTTCGTTCGGGTGTCACTAGAACTGATTGTTAAAAGTATTGTACCAAATGTATCACTTAATGTTCAATTCGAAAGTTGCTCAAGCAGCCTAAAATTTGAGGAGTAAATTAAACATTTATTGTCAATACTTTGCCATCAGAAGTTCTTGTTGAACGCTTTAAATTCACCGTTGGAAATTTTCAAAACATAAGGTAAAGAAACTGAAGTATAGCTGATGAAAAGGTAAAGATTTCTACTACAATATATTACAACTATTGCACAATGTGGATTACAATTATTACAGGAAGAAGGATCGTGTAGCCCTTATCCCCAATTTCCTTGCCCATCCAATCAGTAACTGCGAGAAACGGAATCAGGGTGTATTGTTCACTTGGGTTTAAAACCTTGCTTAGATATGGTGTATTTTCAGGGTAATCGATGTCGGTGGACAGCGCTCTGAGCGAAAAAAGTGGATTCATTGCTTCGACAATGTTAATGCCATCATTTTCATTAGCTCCCTGTCGGAATATGATCAGACGTTGCGTGAGGACAATTGCACGGTGAGTAACCTGCTATACTTGTAATCTATGCAAGCTTTGAAAATGTTGCCAATGACCGCTAAATATTATATTTTTCAAGATTAAATAGTCGGGTTGACAGAGACTGGTAAGCTGAAAACGTTCCCATTTTTGGAGCTGTATTTTTTTTGGTTGATTCTTACCATGTTTATGTTGTTATGTTTTTCTGCAAACCTTCTATATTTATCAGTTCCTTTGTGCCCTAATGACAGTTAGTAGATTAGTGTTGATGGTGTTTTCTGTTTTTTCAATCTTTTAACGATTTGCTGGTAGTTACTCATTTTGGGTAAAACAGGAATAACACGACGAATTAAAAATGAACACTTGCATGAACAACATTGAGGCCACTGGATCTCCCTCCAATTTGTTAAACCACGGCTTTTTATCCATTAGATTGTAATTAGTAGCGCTGTTCCAACAGATAGCTTGAATTTTTTGATCCTCATTACTTTGATCATTATATTTTGATCTTTCGATGTTCATCTCTTGAGTAGCACTTACTTTCCTAATTCTTCACGTTTTTTTCCTTTAAAAGGAGAATCGTTAATACACGTGAAACAGCTCGTTTTCATGATACTCACTACTTGAATATTCATAAACTATTAGCTAAATCTGCCTATTTTTTGTTTTCAGAATCGCATGCAGGAGTCACTCAAGCTATTTGATTCGATTTGCAACAGTCCCTGGTTTGCCGACATCCACTTCATTTTGTTCCTGAACAAGAAGGATCTATTTGCGGAGAAGATTCAACGTAGTCCTCTGACAATCTGCTTCCCAGAGTACAAAGGACAGCAAAATCAAACCGAATGTATCAATTACATCCAATGGAAGTTTGAGCAACTCAACAGGTCACTTTACACTCAGATGATTTCAGTTTTGTATTTGGTTCTTCTACGAGTTTGAGTAAATGGAAACTAAATAGCGCCTCTAGGTTAAAGCAGCGTGCTGACAAGTACTGTCTCTGAAATGCTGTATGAATTTGCATGTCAGTAATAGAAATTATAGATCGTCACAAAGGGAAATCTACTGTCATCACACATGCGCTACCGATACAAATAATGTGCAGTTCGTTCTGGACGCTTGCCTCGACATGATTATCGCCAAAAACCTCAAGAGTATGGGACTGTGCTAGAGGATCACTCGTCGAAATTTGTTACTTTGTTGTTTATTGTAAAAATTGTTTGTAAAGGGCATCGAACAGCAGCATGTGGGCATCTATCTATTTAAATATTTTCCGATTGATTAATAGCATAAAAGAATTAGCCTAGAATTGGACGTAAATTTTAATCACCCAAAATTGAGGTCGGAATGGCCCGCGTGGCATCTTGACTGGGTTCAGTTATCCATCGACTCTTAGTCTATCTATTCGTGAGTATTCAACAGGACTTTCCTTAATCTTGTTTTGTACAACTTGTAATTAATAGTGAGTATGCACAGAACCACTCCCATTTTGATTCTAATTTTTCTGAGAATCAGTAATAGTCGATATCGGTAAACAATAAGTATACTGCTAATCTTCTTATTGTTGCATATTATCCAACGATCTGATTCTGGGTTGAAGTTCGTGATATGGTATTGACTGATTCTATGAGTCATGCATGATTCCTTCAGCAGTCTAGATTCCTTACTCGTTACATTAAGTTCTAAACTGGCCATTATCGCTTGTTACCTACCCACAGAATCTAAACTCTTCTTCTTCTAATTTCTCTAATGTTTTTTTTTTCTAAATGTCGGCTCATCCTATTTGCTGTGTTCTGATCTTTGGAAAACTGCCGCTTTACTGCAACGTTTCGTAGCGTGCAAGGTAAAGTGGATCCGGTATTTTTGCGTAATCTCACGTTGCATTGTGATCTCAGACCTTCAATTACCGATCAAATTGTGTGCGAAATGTTAAAATGCAGTTCATCTGGGGGGTAGGTGAAGAACGAATGTGATTCGTCTGCACTGAAGCGAAACGAACCACTTTTATTACTTGAATTAACCTAGTCTATAGAAGTATTTTTCTTTGTATTATGTTGTGTGCCGTTCTTATGGTTTTATGCGAGATTTCCGACTGATTTTCTGTTGAAGTCCATAAATGTCTATACAATTGAAAGCTCTTCGAGTAATTCTGGTCACTTCGACAGACCGGCAAATTTATTTACTTCCAGTGTTATGGGTGTGTTTCGTCCTCTAATGTTATTCCAAGTTCTATGGTTACAGGCAAAGTATAGCCGAATCGTAGTGTTTGTCGGGGCTAGTTTGGAGAAAATAAAAGTGTGGTTGTCGCCAAATGCCAAACTTTCATTGTTGGGTATTCAAGTTGTACATCTGTATTGGAACCATCTGGGGCCGTAAGGCGTGCTCCCCCGAACAGGGGAGGGTCCCCTTCCCGGTAAGGTATGCTCTCGGGGAGTGCAGAGAGATAGATGCTCTCGGGGAGAGCAGAGAGAAGAGAGCTCGAATCCCAGCCCCGAACAGGAAAGCATACCTTACGACCCCTGCTAGGTTCCTTGGGATTCTCAGGGGCACTGGGATGGTACGAATTGGTCCCACCGGGAAGTACCGTGGCCGGCTAGGCAGGAGAGGATGTCACGAGGCCATGCTCAGCGAAGATTCTGGTCGGTTACAGCATCAACACTGTCGTCGTTGGTCGTCCTCCCGTTATCGTCGTTGCCATTGTTAGCTGTCTTGAGAAGGCTTCATAGAAGGCTGCTTGGTGCAAGTGGGACATGTACCCGATACAGCGCTGCCCGGTCGAACAAATAGTTGATCAACGGGATGGCAGGTGGTACAGGTTATGTGCTGAACTGCAAGTTTGAACCCTCCCATTATTCTATGTATTGTACTGCATTGATTTGCTGCGTAAATTATTAGGGAGAGCGTCATAAATAAATCCTTTCACCGCGATAATGAACCTTGTTTATGAATTTATTTACGACGCCCTTCCTAGTGATTTACGCTTTACGAAAGAGGAGCACAGTAGAAGAAAAATGGGCAGGCATAATTCTAGACGACGACCTCTTGCACCAGTTTTACGGCTCGAAAGCAGAAAACCTCATTATCATAGTGGAAATGGAGTATGGATGGGTCCACGACCGAGAGTACAATCGAATGCAATTTACTAATGGTAAAAGCAAATACGCCGGCCCGACGAATTCAAACAATTCAGGCATCAGTTACTGAGGAAAAAAAACTCACGATGAAAAACAGTGGCATCGGAAAGGTCCTTCTCGTCTTTGTTGTAGGCCTATTCAGTCAATGTTACCACCGACGAGGTCGACTCCGACTGGTCAAATGGTCGTTTGAAAACTATCAACCAAATTCATTAGCTGCAAATCATTATCATCAATTTATCAAAAATCATTATCAACTAATTATCATTATTAAAATCATTATCATTCATTAGCTTATGTATGCGCAACTAACCGATGACAGGAGGGACGATAGTTCGATAATGTCTACCTTCAAATGAATCGTGACACCATGTAAAAAATTTTCTCAGGTTCTTTTCTTGGGTTGCGGTTCACCAGTATAGATAGTCTTCAAAGATAGTGCTATGAGAAGCTTCCTTAGAATTACCACCCCTCATCTCTTCAAACTAGTTCTTTTACGCGCTCGAATGCTAAAACCGTGACGCAACCGCGGGAGCACCGTGACTGAAGCTCTGTGCATTTTTGTTTTGTCGATGGCTTGTTCTCCCCGGAGCAAGGGTGGGGCTTATCCGTTCCTACTTTCTACGGATCAGTTGGCATTTCTCACTTCATCTTATTCTCTCTTCATCTCCTCATTCTTATGGTGTTCGAAGTGCATATGACAAATCCATGAGAAGTCGTTTACATTGTTTTAGCAAATGTCTTTATTGGTAATTTTTCAACATTGAAGTCGGTTTCACACCTTAATTCACGATATTTTTTCCAGCAGCAGTAGTCTAGCGAACTATTTTTGCGTTGGAGAATTATGTGTATGGGTTGTCAAGGGGAAATTGAAATGAGAAATCGGACACGATCCTATTCTGAGGCGGAAAGAGTGTTAAGTCATTATAGAGTTAGCTCTAAGAAATCATCTAGAGAAAGGGTAGAGAAAGTGGAAATGAACTGGAAACCTGATTATGTTAACGTTGTTTTCTAATTACTCGTCGTGTTTCTTGGTTTTTTCTCTACAAGAGCGTATCATATTCTTTTCAGTGCATTCACCTGATGTACTTAATCATCTTCTTTTGATATCGTCGTATGGCTTGGTAACTAAGCTTTTGGTATGACACTTTTTCGTTAGTTGTTTTCCTCAGCACCTGATGCCTGCATCATGCGCCATACCGGGCGCACTTGCACTTCTCATTCGTTTTTACAATTAGATTGCATTCAATAGCACTCTCGGTCATGGCCACAAATTCCCATTTCCACTACGATAATTTCGTTTTCCGTTCCCGAGGCGTGAAGCTGTTCCTGGTATAGATTTTATGTCGGTCGATTTTTACATGTGCTTCGCTTTCGGATTCAGCGACTTCTTTTAACTTTGCTCAGATTTATTCAGTTTTGTTTACTAAACTAATTACTCACCATATTGACGAAATGCTGCAAGCGTAAGTTCTTCGTTGTAGGAACCTACGAAAGTGTTTGTGATTGCTTTTCGGATAATCGATGGCTTTTGTGGTCAGGCTAATAACAGGGGGCTTTTCATATCGAAAAATGATTTGTATGCTCGAATAGACTGGAATATCGACAAAATAAACAACATTACAAAACATGTTTTTGTATCTTTCGCTTCGGTTCCAGGGACCAGCTTAAGTGATTCTGTTCAGAGTGCCGTGCTTTCTGCGGGTTCTAGGATGATATTGATGGTCTTGGTTGACAAGTTTTCTTTTAGCTTTCCTTGCATGTTTGGTTGTAATATACTCTGAAAACTGGGATATTCCACCTTATTCATCTCGTTGTCGTCAAAACACGTAAGTGAAAATATGCCACATGTTGATACAGTGCTAAATGCTGAATGAATGATCTTTTAAACATCGATCGCACGGGTGATTCGAGTATTCGGCCTTTTTTCTATGTGGGTGGATTCACGTTTGTATTTCACAGCGTGAAAGTTCGCTGAACCAGCCAATATTTAAATTTCCAGTACCTGCTTGGCAATTATGTATTCACCTATCCGACAATGGAGAAACTGAGTCAACTACATTATGACTCGTGGTCATGTGGTTTGTGTGAATGTAAGGTTCTCCTGCTGCTGAGCTACGTTCCGTATTCATTCTAGGTAGTACCGACCTGATTTAAATTTGGTCGCATAGTGGTTCATCTCATGAATATTTCTTCTAGTTTTCTATGGGAGAAATAGCTCTTTTCATACAGTTGAGCCCACCCAAAAACAAGAACGGCTTTTGCAAACAACATGAACAGCGTTAGAAGAAAAATCTCCATTATTGGATATTATACGAGAGGGATTTAAACACCATCATACAAAAAGGATGTTGGTACGAAAGCTGGAGCACTGTATGGAAAGATGCATTGCCTTTGATTTCCTCGTGATTGTTGCCTATAGGGCCACCAAGATGAATAAAGCAGTAGGGGGCGTTGGGAGAGAAACAATCGATTCCTGCTTGTCGTCCTTAGAGGGCTATAATTTAAGGACAAACTGGCTTGTCCTGAGAAAAGCCTGCGTTTACATAACTAAAGCAGCAGCAGATCCATTCAAGAACCATCTGATGGTTGCGCATTTGCGAGTACGGTCTGTTTGTAATCACAATCAATATCTGTAGCTTTTCATAGTTTACCATACTTTTTTGTTCTTTTTGTTTTACTTTGTGATTCTTACACTTTGCTGGATATCTTACTGATTCAGTGGGCTTGATGACTGCTTCACTAGCTTCGAAATGTAAACACAAAGGAAACAACAAACACGTTTTTCTCGAATTTCTGGATATGTCCTTTCTTGTGCTGCGCTCTAAATGCGATTATGTATGTGTGATTTATAACATGGCTGTTCTGAAATGTGCTTTTAAATTGGAAAAGGAGGCAAGCGAGGGGGTTAGGACATTTGCGACTGTGACAGAAGATGATTCAACGATAAGAGGTCAGTCAGCAGAAGGCCTTGGGTCTTTCACCTCCTCCTTATTCACGGTAGGACCTCAGATATTATGTGGATAACAGAGGGATT